TCTTGAAGAGCAGATCGCAATCGTCGTCCAAATTGCCGACGATCGCAGGAATGGCCTTCGCATTGATAATTTTTGTTGTTGAAGGTGCCGTTTTTTTTTTCATCTTTTCGGGCCGTGTTTGAACTTGCATATATTTCCTCATTAGCATTCACCTTGAGCCCAACCATAACAATGTTCGTTCTTGTTCCCCACTCGACGTCTGTGATTTTCCTGGTGGCCTTGCCTATCCCACTTGATTTCTTCTTCTTGTCGCAATGCTTTTGGGAATTTCTATAGGGACACTTGTCACCATGCTTGCGGTTGCCCTGTTGAAATGGTAATGGTCGAAAATGATTGGAGGATAGTAGTAACGGAGTCGCCTTAGGCTTGGCCTTGGGATTAGCCCTGCCATCAATTTTTTTGCCATCACCTTTAGCAAGCAGTGGCAGCAGGTTTCGGAGCTGGAGCGCTCGGCTTCCCAATGTCGCGTAGTCGGTGGCAAACCTGTCAAAGGCTGCCATGCTCTATTTCTTTTCGAGCCTTTGCAATGTTCCGTCTCGTAATGTTCAACGGTTCCTTGTCGTCTTTCTTTCGTCCTTTGAAGATAACGAAGTCCACGTTCAGCGCTGCCGATCCTGCAATGTTCCTCATTGGTGATCACGCAGGGTAACATCGGAGGGGATGTCTTGAAGCTTCGTGTTGGCGATGATCTCCAACCATGCATGGAGCCCCCACCGCATTGTAGTTTGTAGAGATGACCGGCGTCGAACAATGTTTCATCTTGTTACGTTTCGTTCCGAGTTCCTGATTTCTTTGCCTGATTCACAGTTTGATATCCGAGGAGTCTCGACGAGGAGTCTCGACGTCTTGGCCATGGTTTCACGACCACTTTCTCGTGTTCTCGTCGAAAAATCCTCGTGACCCATTCGTTCTGCCCGTCACTTGCTGCCTTGCCGACGACCGATCCATCATGATTCTTGGAGGGTTGTCCGGACAAACTCGAAGTTGCCGATATTCTCATCAGTGGCCTTGATGAAATTTTGTCCTTCCTCAACCTGGCGCAGCCACGACTTGTATTCCCTCATCTCTTCCGCTCGGGTTTCTTGTTCAACAAGTTCGTCCCTGCGCCTGTGGTTGGTAGCGCCCAGCTGGCACTTGTTCATCGCGTGGTTTACTGCTATTGTCAATAAAAGAACCTCGGCAACCCGAAAACAGCTCTCATGCCACAGCGTTCAAGAATAGCATGAGGGGGAGGAGGCGCTGATTACACTACCTCCATCACTCCGCCATGTTCAATCTTGAGTTCACCAAATTTATTGTTTGCGTCCTGCAAATCGACATAAGACCGGCCGGTTTTCAAGATTGCATCATTTCTCTGGGTCATGATTTCTGTTATCTCTTCAGTTGTTCTCTTGTCCACTGCTGTGTTGCGTGCGAACATTCGGCTGTCCTTCGCTCGAGGTTCGTGTTGCAATCGGCGGAGTTCTTTTCGAAAGTCGTCGGTGCCCCGTGAATTCGGCGAGCTGGTGACATCATCACACTTGCCCTGCAAGACCTCATTGACACACAGGCGATGTTGATAGTTGTCCTCAGAAAGTTCGGTGCTCTCTTCTTTGCTTGATACTTGGCCATTACGGCGTTCTGGGCGTTCGCTTGGGGGCCTCATTGTTCACCATCACCATCTCCGCATTGGCAGCTACCCTCGATGTCATAAATGCCATCTCCTGACGATTCATCTCCACCTTCTCGGCAACGTACTCATAACATTTTTGCTGAGGTCTTTCTCGTTGCTGTCAAAATTGCTGTGCCATCTCCTCCGCGTTGTGATGCTGTTTTTTTATGTGACGAACCGCATTTTCTAGTTCAGAGTGGTATCGTTGCCGTGCATTTTCACCTTCGCTAATGATATGTCGTGCTCCATCCTCAGCAAGCCCATTGCGACGACGAAGTTTCCTGATCCTCGAAGAAGAGCCTTCATCCATACGGCGTGCACCGGCAAGAACTGTAGACTCAGGAACAGCAGTGCTCTTATCCTCGATAGCAGGTCTCGAAGGGCGCAGCCGAAAACGATCTCTGCGGCCTTCCCCTTCGAGTAGCCTGGTCCGCGCTGCTGCTGACGGCCACCCATCCACCACTGCTATCTCCTGATCCGGGTGTGTCCGCTGGACGTGCCCAGGTTGCAAAGGAAAAATGGGTTTCGTTGCTGCTAGTGTTGCTCTGCACATTGCTTCGGTTGCTGTGCTTCGCGACTCTTCCGTTTACAACAGTCCAATCGACGGGTCATGGGGAAAGGAGTGCACGTTGCCGAAGTCAATGCAGAAAAGCCGCGTCCAACCAACCACCAGTCAAGCTTTGCGTTGCTAAGTTTGGCTGACGGTTGTATGACTGCAGGACCACGGTACAGCCCAGGTAGAGCCTATAGCTGATAACTTAAGAATGGGTAAAGAGTTGTCACCTGGCTGTTGGCGGCTGTGTCCAATTTGTACATGTATCCACTTAAGGCTAACCTGGCCTGCAGCACATTCACATTACACAATCGGATTCGAAGAGTATGGTTCGAGAACCTAGGTTTCCCTGTGATGAGTCTTTCAACCGGTGGTTTTGTGAATTGCAAAAGATTGTTTGGAAAACCAACCTCTAGCAATTTTTCGATGAAATGGATCGAAATGGTCTCGTTTCACTATTGGGTTCCAGTGTCGAGCAACTCACCCTGGCAATAAACAAAGTGCACATGATGGCATCATATCACGAACAAAATATATTTTTGATAGTGGCAACAATACCTTGTTGTGATTTATTTTGTTTGCGTGAATCGTTGCAGGGCGTTTGGTTCGCTTCACGACTTGCATTGTTTTCGCTCTATGTTTGCATGTTGAATTCTTGCTAATATTGCTATGGGTCAATTCACCCTGGCACTCCAAACTGGCAATTTGTTTCCCATTTGGACATGAAACAACAGAAGTGGTTTCACCAGGATGCCAGTGTTTGGACTATAGTTTCTTCCAGACCTGGCGAAAAAATGTTTCAACCACAGTACTCCAGTCCAAAGTGAGGACCAAGGGGTGCACCACTATGGGTGATCAAATTTCATAGGAGATCAACGCAGAAGTAGAATGCGCATATGTTTTGCATCTATTGTTCGCAACCCTTCTAAAACGAATAATGAATCATGAATAATGGCAAAAACAAACGTACACACACCAGGTTGTGATTCAAAACGCCTCTTTTTGGCAACTGGATCGTTTGACAACAAGGTTGCAGTTTTTGAAGCCGGAGATGTTCATGATTCAAAACGCCCCTTTTTGGCAACAAAAAGGGTGCAGTTTTTTAAGCCGGAAATGATCATTTTCACCGACAAAAATAGGTTGGAATGCGTGCTCGGCATTTTGGATTCCATGATAGCGAATAGCAAATTGGATCCGCACTGTCTTCACTATGCTGCCGCAACCGGGAGACTGCTTAAAACCAACTAATTGGCGATTATTTGCGATTTTTTCAGTTTGCTGTTGATTCGATTGCACCTTCCTTGGAGAAGGAACAGCCTGCAGACCACTTTGGTTTTCGACGAGGTCTTGGTATTGATGAGTGGTGGGTTTGAAATATGTTTGTGGCAAAACGTTGGCCTGGGAGTCTGGGCTGTGGTTTGCCAGGTTTGATTTACGAAAAAAAATCGACCGTATAGCACGCCACGCACTGTTTCCGGCATTGGAAGCACAAGGAGTTCCGGATGCATACGTCCACTTACGGCGTCGGTTATATGCTCATGGCACTGGACATATTCGCAGTAGCAACCGTCGGTTAGCCTTGTGTTTGACATCGAGCGTGGCGTGAAACAGGGTGATGTCCTTAGCCCTACATTGTTCAACGCTGGGTTAGAACAAGCATGCAAAACTGGAAGCAACGCTTACAATCACACGGCTTACATATTTGTACCACAAAAAAACCTATAAATTTTTGTAATGCAAAGGATGTGTTATGACGTTATGATTTGCGAAGTCGTGGAAGGAGCTGGTGGACATATTGGAGTTGCTAGTTGTGGGACTCACACATGTAGCGCTGCAATTGAACACTCACACTTCCAAAAAAAAATGTTTACAATTTGCGAGTTGGAACGCCCTTTACACATTGACGTTTGTAATGATTTTTTTGATTTTTTTGGGTATTTTATGGGGCAACGACAAGCACAAATATCTTGGCCGTACCGCGTGCGGAAATTGGAGGCGTCGCGGCTTTGTTCAATTGCAACGCAAGATCCGGACCGGACGGACAACGTTTCAAAATTACAGACAGATCCTGACAAACAAACACATTGCCTTGGAACTTACGGTTGAAACTATTTGATGCGGTCGTTTCTCCTGCTGTCCTTTTTGGGTTGACTACCCTGCCCCTAACATCCCTTGACAATATTGGAACATCAATCGCTGGACAAACTACACCAAAAATGTTTGGATTGATTGTCGGGTGGGTGCGGCAGCCAGATGAAGATTGGTCAGAAACAATGTCCCGAATGCACCGAAGATTGCCTTTTGCAATGGCAACCTATGGAATGCAAGCAAGCCTTGGTCGTGTTACGTAGTAAAAAACAATTTGAAAATACTTCAACTGTGCAATTCGTGGGCTGCAGCAACGACCTAATGGAATCCAACCAATGCGTGGCAGCATTTTTCCGATGAACCGAAACACAGGCAAAGTCGCCCATCAAAAAGGGACATGATGATGTAGAGAAATTTGCAAACCATTAAATTCTGCTGTGACGACCCTCGCTTGCAATGAGACCTTCTTTTTTCCAAAGGGGTGTGCAAGGCTGGTCCATCGCCAGGCTTTGGGCTTGGCACACCCCCAACCACCTGACAAGGTATCAGGGTGGCTGAGGGTGGGCGTGAAAAATTTCCACAAAGAAAGAAACATGTAACATGCTAAAGTTGCGACCATTGTCATTGACATTGTTTCACATTGAAAAGTTTGACATTCAAACCTGTAAGCCAGAGCTCGGTTGATTCACAGCAGTTCATCACCTCACATCAGAATTTAGTTCGCTTGCCGTTGTCTTGCTTACTTAAATTCTGCTGTGACGACCCTCGCTTGCAATGAGACCTTCTTTTTTCCAAAGGGGTGTGCAAGGCTGGTCCATCGCCTCCCCCTTTTGCAACATTGCCAGGCTTGCATACAATGTTAGACCAAATATCTGCACAGCCAATACGGTCTCGCAAGCATCCACAGTTCATTAGAAGATCTACTTGAAGACGCGAAGGGTCATCTGCAATATTGGACTCTGTTGGCACACGGGTGATCCAGGAGTTGCATTCGGCATCATTCTCAGCTTCGAGGATAGCATCAAGTATTGGAAGAGAATTTGCGCTGCTAGTGTGGCAAGCGATGAATGCATCCCTGACAGCATCATTGTCAGTATGGATCACTACGTTGCACTGATGAATGAAATCCTTCCAAACAATCATGGCACAAAGCACAGAGAAAAATTCGCATTCGTAGATTATTGTCTTCCTTTGAGACACATTGATTTCACGCAAGAGGTCAGGTGATAGCTGTTCTGAAAAGAAGCGGCGCCTGCAACCAAACTGGTCCACCAAGACCCCACCAACGCCAGAGAAAGGTTCCGCCTCATGTGGTTCATGTGAAGCGTCGGTGAAGATAAACCAAGTTGTCGTGGCCTTCGATGAAATCATCCTCGGCACACCATTGACCAGCATGTCTCTGAAGCGAGACAGGGCATGTATTGCAGCCTCAGCCAATGTTGATGACTCAGAGCCATAGGCATGCTGCGTTACCACTGCAAGGCACCGCCGGGCTAGCCGCCCATAAAACTGACCAGAGGCAAATTGCATCCGTCCTCGCAATCTAAGGGCTTCAAGCTTTGCAAGGGATCTTGACGTCACAGCCTGATCCAATGCCTGGGCCAGCTCATCTCTTCTGTTCGCGGTGTTGGAGACGCTAACCGATCCTTGATGCAACTTCGACACATCAAGCTGCACTCCAAGAGCCACAAGACTGCTGCTGAAAGGTGGCGCCTTCGGTCCATCCTCAGCAAACCTCCAACCCAACAATCTGAAGACGGCCTTCACAGTAAAGTCGACCGATTCGGCTTCACGGAGATCAGCAACGGACACAAAATCGTCAAAATAATTGGTGGTTATCACCCAGAAGACTGATGTCAAGATAGCCCACAAGCTGTGCGCTATTCGAAGGAAGCTGTGGACAGATTTGACGCTTCCAAACGGGAGTGCCTTGAGGCGAAAGGCCTTCAATGAAGATGTGTGGGGATCTCCAACAACAATGTACGAAAACTGCCTGGAGTCAGGATGGACTGCACACTGCCTGTATGCGCTCTTCAGGTCAAAGCTCCGCGACACCCAGGCGTGATCGCCTTCGGCGTAGCCCATCACTGTGCTGATCATCGCTGCCACCACGTCAAGCGTGTGAGGTTTTGGGGATTCCCTCGGTTGAGACGCAGCGTTTTATCCCAGACCAGGAAAAATCATCCACACACCTTATCTTTCCATTCTGCTTGACCCCAAAGCGCCTGCTGAGTGGAAAGTCCGAAGGCACCTCACTCAGATCGAAGGGCCCTTCGGCTTCACCACGAATGACTTCCTGCAATGTCTGATCCCAAACTGAATGCGCGATCTCGGAGTCAAAGAAAACTACCTGACCAAATGAGATACCGTCCCGCTGCAACCTTGCTTGGGCGTGCAACTCGCCCTCAGTCATGGTGGCAGGGGTGACCTTCGATGGCCACAGGTTTGTTAGGTCTGTCTGCCCTGTCAACCTGGAGCCAGCGCAGAGCTCATCGACAACACCCATATCGCTGTAGTTGATGGACTGTAGCATTTCTTTCCAGACAAGGATCCTCTTGCCTTGCAGGACTTCAGCAACTCCAGGTTCCAAGGTCCGCACTAGCTCTTCCTCTTGATGTTTGAGCTGAATCGACCTTCGCAGCCAGTGCTTCAGGGCTTGGGCCCTGTGAGCCATGCGCTGTGAGCATGACTTCGTCAGAGACTTCTCAATGCAGTCCCGCAACAACAGTGGCAGAAAAGAATGCAGCTTCGCTGGGTGACCGGCAACAACTGCCCTGTCAACAAACTCATCCGGTGTCCAAGGAGTCCCCCAAACCTGAAGCTGCCAATCCTCAGTGGCACCTGAGTCTCCCTCATTCAAGGTCAGGGTCTGCAGAAATTCGCCTGTGAAAGCGGCTGCAACATTGTTGCCAAAATTGTCAAAACCCGTCGAAAATTATTGTCAGAAAAAGCGGCATTGCATTCAGATTTCCCTGCATCTTGTTCAACATGTCCAGCATCACATTCAAATGAAGAATTTTCTGCATTTGTAACATTGTTTGTCAATTTTTTACAACTGATTGAAAATTGGCCGTCAGAAAATTGGCCGTCAGAACATTCAGCATTGCATCCATGAACTCGCCCTGGTCCACCAGTTTCCTCGATGCTCAGTCCCCCTTTGCTGTGAGAGGGAACGTGTTCAACTGCAAGAAGTCGAGACCCTTTGGGCAGCCATTGCTTGGGCTGTTGTACAAGCAAAACATCAGTTTTATTTCCAAAGATTGAACCGCTTCGCAAACATTTTTCGCAAAAGACTTACGCGGAAACAAAACAAACAAAACACATGTAAACCAAACTTAAAAAGTTGTCTCAGCTGAATCTGTCGCCGCGCCATCTTTTTCCACAGCAAATGGGGAGCATCCGTCCACGCCCCGCCATCAGGGCTTAGGGGGTGGCCTCTACATTGTAGAGGTAATAAATGGTGGCAAAAAGGGGTGGGAAAAAAGAAGGGAGGGATCTTTTGCCACCGAGTGAAACAAAATACAAAAGGGGAACCCTCCCACCACACCCTTAAGCCATAATGTTGCACACACAACATATAATTACAACTGACTCACTTGGTTGAGTTGAGTTGTTAAAAGGTTGTGTGAAAAAATTTGTTTTGCAAGTTGTTGTTTCTGCGTAACATCCAGATTAAATGTTTGCCACAGCTAACTCTTGTTTTTCAAACCAAGAGTTTTCAAAAATTGGAAATAAGGTTTTCATCCCTCCGGGAGTAAAAACTTATTTCCAAAGATTGAACCGCTTCGCAAACATTTTTCGCAAAAGACTTACGCGGAAACAAAACAAACAAAACACATGTAAACCAAACTTAAAAAGTTGTCTCAGCTGAATCTGTCGCCGCGCCATCTTTTTCCACAGCAAATGGGGAGCATCCGTCCACGCCCCGCCATCACCCCATTTATAACAGGCGTGACGAAATCCTAGACGCGATCTCCATCCATGGTATGGTGGCCTTACGGCAACCTAGTGACAGCAACCGATCGAATTTTAATCGGCTTGGCTCATCACTGATGTTGCTGTGCGATGGCACACGGCTAAACCAAGACTTCAGCTGCAACGCCGCTTCGGATTCGCAAACAAGCTGGATGATTGCATCAGCAACTTTGGTGGCTCCTGAACCTTTGATGAGCCCTGATCTGGCCGCATCATTGTCCAAGTAGCAGACAACTTGTGACTTGTCTACCCACGAGCCCCACAAAAATATTGAAATGAACAAAGGCAGCAATTCTACTTCGTAAATGGGATGTGCAGAATTCTGGTAGAAAGCCTCTTCCAGTTCACTTGGCAAAGTGTCACCAAACATGGCAACAGGCCGACCTCTCGGACTGATTAACACTCCACCAACGGAAGATTGGCTTTCACAAGCACCATCCGTGAACAAGATCCACGTCTCAAGAATTTTCTTTGAAACTTCGACAGGCTTGCTGGCTTCCACTCGCTGCAAAATTCTTTCCAAGATTCCCCGTAGGTCATTCCCAACGGGCACCAAGGCTTTCGACTCAGACATGTGCTTGCCCAAACTTGAAATGAGAAAATTGGCCTGTCGTCCACAAACGAAATTTTCAAACCACAAAAGTCGACCTCTGAGCCTCTCGATCGATTTGGCGCTGCACTCGCCCTCCGCAAGCATGTCTCTCAAGGACTCAGCCAGTTCCGTCCTCCTGGATTCCGTGTGCCCCACGAAGACCATTCTGTCGACCATACATTGCAAGTCAAAAACAACTCCAAGTGAATTGAAAAGCATGTCAAACTGTGTGGCTTTCTTGCCCTCCTTGGCAAACAAAACGCCCAGCATGTCAAATAGGCATTCGGCTGCCCAGCTCGCATTTTTCGCACAATCTTCTCGACTGATCAAGGTATAGTCATCGTAGAATGCAGTCCAAGCCAGTTTGAGCCCAGCCATACCCACATACCACAAGAACATGGATATGCGAAGAAAAGCAGCAACGCTCCCAGTCGCTCCAAAAGGGAGCGAATTGACCATGAGAAGAATGAGCTCAGAGGCAGAAGGCTCACACGTAGCAACACGGATGCGTTGCCTGTCTTCCGTACATATCCCAAACTGTTTGTATGCGCTGCGCAGGTCAATTGTTTTTCCCAACATCTTGGGGTGTTGTTTATCACCATTGGAATCCAGTGAGTACGCAAGGAGCGCGGCAATGTCGTCAATGCCAAAAATTTTTAACCTCTCGTTCATACCAGTCGTTTGGTTGACTCCTGCAATGCTGAAGTCATCAATGACCCTCACCTTCTCCTTTTGTTGCAATCCGAAACGCATAGCCCAGGCTGCGTCATCACATGGCCCTTTGTCAACTTCCATCCATCCTTCTTCCAGTTCCTTGCTCGTCTCTGCCCATGTGATTGCTGCCATCTCGTTGGAGCCGGCTGATAAGACCTTGGCTTTGACATGTGCGTTCATCCCTTTGCTCAGCGACTTTAATGTGTCCACATCAAGGCTTGGCTCCTTGACCTCCTTTGGAAAAACATTTGAATCTGGCATCCATCCAGTGATGGGAAAGCCATGCAAGATATCGCTGACCAGCCTCTTGTCCGGGTAGTCGAAAAAGTCGACCATTTCCTGCCACAACGCAAGTCTCTTTCCTTTGAGCAATCCACGCAAATGAGCTGGCGCTGTGTTCAGCAACTCTGTATCTGCCGACTTGAGCTTTTGTGCCCTGTCAGTCCAGTATTTCACAAAATCGATTCTGTGTTTGAAAACATTGTAAACATGTTCTTCTCTGTTCCAGTCCACAACGCTCTTCAGGTCTTCAGGAAGCGATATGGCCACGCTTCTGGGATGGCCAACTTCCACTGCTCTTTTCAAGAAGTCCATCGGCTCTCTCGGTATTGCTACCACCACTTTTTCACATGCTAAGTCACTGGCAAAGTCTTGCTCAGCACGTTCGGCATCCATCAAAACTTTGAAATTGGAATTTCTGATGCATCCCAGTTCTGTAAAAACATGTGCATATGAAAATTCATCCATTGTCTCATCCATTTGCTGCCCATTTTGCATTTTGATCGCATCCAGCTTTTTGGATAGCTCATGCTTTTTCACCTGCCTTTCAATCGAGTCCCGCACTTCACCCCACGTCAAAACTAGACGCGATTGTACACTGGATCCTTTTGGCAGAGTTTCAATAAACGGCTGCAAAAAATTGTCACATTGAGCATTGATAACCACATTGATGTATGTACCAAATTCAGAAACCAACGGTTTGACATGTTTGCCCCTGGGGAGCGCTCCAAGGACCACCCTGTTGAGTGTTTTACCATGAAGTTGTGCATGTTTGGGCACATCATTGGTCACTACCGCACCTGCAGCCAGCACAATTGCAAGCACAATAGAAGCCATGCGTTCACATAGAAGCTCTGGATATGCAGCTTCTGAGTGCGTTGGGTAGTGGACTCTTCCGTTAATCACCGAAGGCGTCCATGGAGCATGCGAATGTTGTTTGTCACAACGGAGCTCTAAGGCATCAAACCAATTCACATTGGTTGCGAAACATGTCAATTTGTCTCTGGAACCTCCATGTGCACAGTTGTGAAAAGTAATGAATTTCAATTGTGGCAACGAATGAAAAAGTGATTTGAAAGGAGAAGTTTTCCACATCAAACTGTTGGCCGGATTCTCAATGGTAATGGCAATATTGCATTCGATAGCGACTTGAGCAATGAGAACTGTGGTTTCATACAATAAATTTGCTGCTTCAGTTCTCAACTTGTCAGTGCCTTTCAACCACGGATATCCGTTTGGGTGATGGTCATCCCTCAGTGGTTTCGGCTCTTTGATGTTGATGGCTTTAAGAAAGCGCAGTCTCTTTCCCCTAGCCCGGCTAGCCGTTCCACACGGCGGTGCCATGTGCACGAGAGCTATCTGTTTAGCTCGTGCCTTGATGAAACGTAAAAGTGAGTTCACTTCTTCCAAATTGGACAAGTCGAACTCCAAAACATTTTGACCTTCTGCCCTCTTTGAGGATTTGTCAAAAGCCAGCCCTTTGAACCCCTTTCGTTTGAAACTACGGGTTAGCCGAGCTGTTCCAGCAAAAAGCTCCAGCACGTAAATGTCACTGAGCTTTTGCCCTGTAAAACATTTGTCACCTATTCGTGACTTGCTTGGCTCCTCACCAAGCGGTCTCTTGTGAGCTCTGTCAATTGGCTCCTCACCTTTGACTCTGCTCTCAGACTGCGTCTCGCTTCCAAGTCCTTCAGACTCTTGAAGCAGACCTTTAACGGTGCTCAAAGCCCCTGTGGTCTCAAGGTCCACGAGCTCTTCACCATCAAGTGAAACTGATTGAAACGAATTCTGACAAAATGTCTTCCCATGCTGTTGTTCCGTCTCTGCACGCCCTAGTCAGTTGTTACGCTTTTTCAAATTGCAAACCAACTGCGAATGATTCGGTTTGTGACAAAATGCACAAACATGAAGTCCTTTGGCGCACTTCGCAACCTTTGCTCCACTGACAAGCGGTGCTTGACATCCACCCTCTAAATTGAATGCCCAACAAACGTTCTGACCGTCCTTCGTCAGGGTCTCCATGCCTGCCAAAGCATCGGGCTTGCTCTTGTCCGACTTTTTTGATGCCTTGAACTTTTTCTTTGGCTGCGTCTTGGCTGTTGGCGCTGCCTTTAGGGCGCCAGCATTTGCACCTTGACTCGCAATCCCTGGGCTGCTCTTGGCAAGCTGTGGCAAGGGTAATAAAAACATTGTCACTCTTGGATCTGAACGCAACCTCAGCACGTGCACATCGAAAGGCGGTTCATCCGCACCCACTGCTGCAACCACTGCTCCTGTGAAGGCCTTTGACATTTCAGTCCACAACTGCTTGTCCGCTTCGATGAGCTGCTCCAACGTGACCTTTGCATGTCCTGGGGGAGGAGGTGTATTGAGAGTTGTCAGCAATTGGTTGATCCACTTCGATTGGCATTCCCAGCTGCTCAACCTAACTTGATCTAGGGCTAACGCCCTCCTCTGCAAACACCATTGGAGTTGGATCGTAGATCCACATTCAGCTTCCAGAGCGCTGTCAGGTGCTGACAGCTTTAACGTCTGATGTTCGAGTTGTACTACCGATGGAAGGTTTTTTGCTCCATGTTGGATCTCTTGATCCCTTGAAGTCGCCTTGCTTGGCGATATCCACTGCACACAGTTTGTTTCTATCATGTTGTTCACAGTGTCCACCAAGTGATATGAAGGTTGCATCTCACCTTCGATGTCCACTCCAAGCAAGCGCCTTTTTTGATCTGCTAGACGCGTCTGTTTCTCGATCACTGGGAGCTTCTGCTTTCCATCCTCCTGGTCACCGGTGACTCGTGCTTTGAGCTGTGCAACCACCAAAGTTGATGCCTCAAAATGCACCCTTCGGAAAGCACTGTATGTAGCCATGTCATAACCTGGCTGTAAAACCCGGTCTGCAAACCCTCTAAAAGCATCGTCACTCGGCGGCGTCTGTGGAGTGCCGACTGCAAAAGCCAGCGCACTACATGTTTTGATTCCACTGTTGGTGATGGCCAGTCTAGCTGCTGCATTGGCCACCACTTCACGCAAGCGCTGCTCAAACGCAGCTTCGCTGTCAACTAGGGCCATGTCGTTCAAGCTACACTGGTTCAACAAACTCAAAATTAAATGTCGATGCGACTGCATTAGTCATGCAAAAAATTTGACATGTCGACCATGAACTCCTGAGATTACTCAAGCCTCTGCACCCAGTGGCTGTGTGAGCCCGTCTCACAAAGTTCCAAGTCTTTGACATGTCATGAGTTGCAAACGTGAATCACAACTTGCACACTTCCATTTGTATACATGTCATTTGATTCATTGCAACTTGGATCACAAGTTTGAAAATCACGCACTCAAGATTAAACGGTTTGATCAGCTCCTCACTCTTTTGGACCTGACCTCATTTAAGGTTCCGACGCATCTGCTTCTTGCAGACAAGTGAGACTGCTTCCGAAACTGTTGGGTGCATGCCGAAAAACATGAAAGTGAAGCAAATGAGTGACATGAAATAACAACTGCACAAACCCGTAAACATGTCCTGCACCTTTGGCCTCAACTGCAACAAGTGTCATCTATGTTTGAAGCACTTCCAACAAATGCCACTGTCCCACCTTGGGTGGATGCCATCACATGTATGGAAGGCTCCCGGCTTGCGACAGCATTCGAAAATGCCTGGGGTCTTGTAGTTAACCAAGTGAAGGATCTTGGACTTGGTGTGCTGCCACATAGTGAATCCTTCAGGCGCAGTTGGTGGTTCAAAAGTCTTGCGTCCAGTGTCTTCAAAAGAATTGTCTGCCTCTTCTGTCTCTGAAACATCACTGCTAGACGTCTCTGTGCAAGCATCATTGATTTCGGTTTCACAGTTTTCTGGTATGACCTCAGGTAAGGCCTTAGAAGGCGTCACACTGGCGGACGTCTGGATCAATTCCCAAGCGTTCAACTCACCTTCATCATCACTGATTTCAATCTTTGTTGCATCCTGAGTTGATTCCAAGCTCACATCGAGGCTGCCACCAGTGTTAGCCTTCTTCACCAATCTGCCGCTGCGGGTGCAATCAGGCATGTATGTGCCTTCCCTGATCTCTGACAGCATTTCCCCTAAGATTTGGAGAGGACGTGCCATGCCATCTCTGCTGTATGTGAGTCCCATAGTGAAAGGTGAAGTGTGGTACCCCAACAACAACCTGTCCGGCATGTCCACACCACGCTTGGCTAAAAAGGATAGCATTGTACATTTCAATGAATGGCTGGAGACTTTGCGCTCACTCACATCATGATCACTGAGCTCCAACAAAGCCCTGAGCCAACGACCAGCTTCTTCTGAGTCAAGAGCACGCTTGCCCGGCATACCATTTTCCATAGGAGCAGGCATCAGAGGAAAACCATTTTCAAAACTGATTGATAACTCCTTTCTCACGCCTTCCCAAAGAACACCCCAGTTCTGTTCTGTGACTCCAACCGCTGGTGCAACTAATGGCAAGAACTGGTGCCTGTGCTGCAGAGCTCTCACCGTTTTGTGTAAACCCGTTAAGGCCTCAACGTAACACACAGTGTCCCCATTCCTGTCAAAGGTCAGCTTTGAAGAGTGTTGTGCATCGCTCCACCTAGCCCTTGAATACGTCACAAAGAGGACTGCACCACAAAACATTCGATCCCAAATTTCATGACCAAATTCCAGAATGTTGTGCAACTTGACAAGTTCAGAAACTCTAAGAGGACTGGCCTGCCTTTTCTGCGTTGGGGTGTCAGTTGTTGAAGCTCCCCAACATCTCCTGCCCTTCAAGAGCACATCACACTCTGTAACTCCCATGCAGTACCGTACAAATGCAATCGCTTCCAGAATGCCCTTAGACTTGGAGGCCGGGAATCCCTGTTGTCGCAACGTGCAAAGAATGCCATATAGCGCGGGTTCTGTGCAAGGAAACTCATGACCTACCAGTTCCAGTTGTTCACACAAAAACTTCATGCTGTTTGCACGCTTAGTCAAAGTGCTTGGTGCTTTTCCACGAAAAACATCTCCCAGCATAATCAATTGTGCATTGACACTGTCGCAACCTGAAAGACATTGCACAAATTCAATTTCACGTGTCCAGGACGATGAAATGACCAGCCAATGTTTGAGTGCTCTCTGCAAGTGTGCCTCACGTTTTTCCTGCCATGTAACATCTTCAGAGCTCTTGACGCAACTTCTGAAAAGAGGTTCAGCAAAAACTGAGGAACTCGGCAAACATTGTTTCTTGTAAACGTCACCACTCGTTTCGTCCATGTGAGCAGTTTCGTCAACAGGAACAGGACGTTTGAAGTTGTTTTCAAGTTTTGGTCCAAACGCATCATCACCAAAAATGCACTTCCAAAAACCACTGTTCCAAATAGGCTCCACAGTATCTGATGCCAGGGCGTCCCACGCTGCACCAACTGCATGTCCAAAGTTAACATGGCTCACATTTTGAGCAGAGGCTTCGATTGGAGTAGACTCCACCTGGTCACCTTCTCCCACACTCAAGGCTGCTGCTGAAGGAAAGTGTAAACTCGAAGAAGAAGAACCAATCAAATTTGGATTGCCTTCCCCAGATTCCACAGAAACGTTGTCATCCACTTCAGAAGCCATTAAAATCCCCCATGCATCTTTTGCCACCGAGTGAAACAAAATACAAAAGGGGAACCCTCCCACCACACCCTTAAGCCATAATGTTGCACACGCAACATATAATTACAACTGACTCACTTGGTTGAGTTGAGTTGTTAAAAGGTTGTGTGAAAAAATTTGTTTTGCAAGTTGTTGTTTCTGCGTAACATCCAGATTAAATGTTTGCCACAGCTAACTCTTGTTTTTCAAACCAAGAGTTTTCAAAAATTGGAAATAAGGTTTTCATCCCTCCGGGAGTAAAAACTTAGTTCGTTGCAAAACAGAAAACTTTGGCAAAATGGACTTGGGTCCTTGAATTTTAAAACGTTGCTTGTATGTACGTACCAATGGTGGCATTCTTGATGACCTCGCCTGATATCCAACGGAAGCTCTCATCTTCTGCAATGCCTGCAAAGAGCATGGCTGCACCTGTTCCAGTGTGTCCGGCAAGGGATGGATACCACATCGGAGCAGCACGCGTGTGAAAACAACGGCAATCAAGCGTGCCAGTCCCATTGGATAGGCTGTCTCATCAGCCGTTGAAAACCCATTGGTTGCATTCAGTCCCCATTGGGCGTGCTTATGCCGGCTACTTTGTCCTGGGCACATTGCCGACACAGCCAAAAATTCATCGGCATTGAAAGCCAACATTGTTTTCTTTTTCCGCAAACCACCGTATTGACATGAATGAAAAACTGAATACATGGCCAGATGCGCAACTTCCGTCCAAAAAGTTGTAGCCCAAAATAGACTGAACTGAGGGTTCTCAACAACAAAAATCACACCAAACTCAACAGCCCATTTGACTAGCTTCGCAGTTAAATGATACAGCTGATTGGCCAGAGATACTCGGCTCAGTTCCGAAGGGTTCAGATTTGGAATTCCGTTTGGAAATTGATCTGTACGTAATGGTCGTGGTCCATTTCTCTTGCCGCCGAACTTCCTTTTTAACGGGATTTGACGTGCTCTTGAAGCAGATCCGCAAGGAGGAGCAAGAAAAATTCCGACCACGTTAGGCATGCTTAGCCAGCTCATCAAAAGTTCCTCCCCTTCGGGAGTCGTCAAATCAGCGATGATAACTGTAGACATAGCGTTCTTTGAACGAACTTTGTCAACGCCAAAGCTGCTTTTGAGGCCTAGCTGTTTCAACGAGGCCGTGACACGTGATGAACCTGCAAAGATCTCCACTATGAGGCAATCTTCCAAACTAGCGCCTTTGCTTGCCAGGTCAAAGACGCGTTCTAACCGTCAAGGCTTCTTGTCATGGTCAAGGAAACTGTGAGGAGCATGGCAACCCTTCTTCATACACAAGTGCCATCCACGATTGCATTCGGCTCCATGTGCAGCGTCCTGGCACTTGTTGAGGTTAAAGTTGAAACACAGCCTTCGATTGTGATCATCCGTTCCAACGCAGCCCTTGTTCTGCAACTCGGCCGGCAAGATGTTTGCCACCTTTTTCCCTTTTCCTTTGCCTTTTCCTTTTCCTTTGGAGCCCTTGTGATAAGGCTGACCTGCACGTGACTGCCAATTCGATGGCTGACTTGGCTGTCCAGAAGCAGAGGGCTGCTGGGGTTTGGCTTCAGCCGTTTTGGCCTTCGGCAGTGGCATCAAGTGAAAACCTACTTCGTAGGATTGTAAAGCGTTCATGATCTCTGTGTCCATCTCAAGAGTGTCATCCGGTTTTCTTCTAACATCCACATCCTTTCGGATCAAAGTGAGAAAAACCTGTCGGTCAGCACGGAGAAGCTGTTGCAGTGTCGTCTTCACATATCCATCGGGCGCCTCGGTCCGCAGGTGGTTGAAGAGGGATTGGAGGTAGCGCTCATGAACATCCCAAGATAGTGCATCGATAAATGCAAATGCTACCCCACGTCTTTTCAGGGCTTCAAGCACCTGGAGCTCTGTGCTCGCAGCTTGGTCAGGGACCTTGGCCTCCTCCTTGACCAGCAGCTTGTCAGCGTCAACATGCAGCTGCTTCGATGACTTGGAGTATAATACCTCATGTTCACGACTGGTAAGTTTTGCAATCTCTATGTACTGCAATTGCTTGGTCTCCCACATTTGAGCCACAAGGTTCAAAAGGGCATGCGAGGGCTCCAGCTGATGCTCAAGCAAAACGCCAGGCAGCCTGGCTCTCAGTTGTCTCATTTTTGCTTCCCTCTCCACTGGCGGCATCTTTCGAGTCATTTGCATCTCGGGGTTCGAAACCTGCTCGCGCAACTGAGCCATGACCAACGTTTGGGCCTCAAACAGCAAACGCCTGAGGGAGCTCACGTCTTGCATTGTGGCCATCGCGCCCAACACGTTGGTTGCAAACCTTGTAAATTCCAATTCTGGCACCGGCATCCCTGGCTGGCCAACACCAAATGCAAGCCGCCCAAGCGTGGAGTATCCTGCACCAAAAGTGGCCTGCTTTCCACGGTCACTGAGGCCCACCTCATCACATCTCTTCTGAAAATGGGCTTCGCTGTCCAGAATGGAAGTCATAGCTGCAAAAAAGAATGCGAGGTGACACGGTCGTGCAGTGTAGGAAAATAGTGAAATGAAAATTAAACCTGGAGATAGTATTCAAAAGTTTCCCCATCGCGAACATACAACGTATGGAAGACACATGGACCTGACAATGAATTTGGATCCAATGACCCGCTCGTCTGCCCCATTGACAGTTACTAGAGCCAACGTGGCTTCTACACAGTGTAGGTTCATGCCACATTGGTCGCCATTGCCACATTGGTAACGGCTTGAATCGGCACATTGCCGTGACACACATGTGGTCGTTACTTTGCCTCACATTGAGGTACTGAGAAACTAAATGGCACATTGCCCGGCACATTGCCGTACCCACATTGGGTATAAGTGGATTGTCACACATTGTGATAAATGAGTAGATTGCAAACATGATCATGTACATCTGGACAACAGGCAGTAACCCTTGCACAACAAGTCGTGCAGAACAACGGCAACGCCCACATTGGATCGTTCAAATGCAATGTCAAGACAAAAGATTCAATGCACACATTGGCAATCAACATGACATGACGGACTTTTTCCAGCACGGCTCATAGACGTTTAGGTGGCTCACGGCACCCTTTGAAACAGACCCGACATTTGGCAGTCCAATCTGGAACTGTCTGCACCACAATGAAACCGGCTGACGTGAGCCGTCCACACTTCGTAGTCTTCTTTTGAAGAAGCTCGCCATTTGCGTGGACTGATCCAGAAATGTCTGCGCCGATGTCTGGGACACTATGGATAATGCCCGTCCTCCCATTCTTCACCATGACATCTAATGAAAACCTGTCTTCATGGGGTGGACGCCTGTCATCACTGACTTCCACCTCATTCTCCACGTCCGAGTCAACGTCATCGCAACCTGATGTCGACGACGATGAATCCGATGACGACAGGACCTCAATCTCAAACGCCTGCAGAACACCGTCAACCTCAATGCACTCAACCTCCTTCTTTGGTGTGATGTGCTCCCACTCATCATCTGGAACCGCAGCAACGCAAGGCTCAGTTCTTGTCTCTTTCGTCAGAAAAGCCGGCGTTCCAGGCTGAAAGACTGGTGCTGGCGTGCCCGGCGCCAATGGATTGGCCCCTTTGAAGAAATCAGCTCGAGGTTGATCCGGTTCGAATTCACCTTCTCTAATAAGAGTGAGGACCCGCTGCAGGGCCTTCACCGGGGCCACAGCAAGGTCCCGAGCATAGATGGAGTCTGAGTCCTGCAAACTTGATGAGTGCCTGCCGAGTAATCTGCGTTGATCTCGGGGTAGTTCAGCTTTTGCTGCCCAAGACAAACATGTCGTCTTGAGCGAGTGAGACGTGACGTCTCGGTCCTCAATCTGCAAAAGACACCGGATAACCGATGTCGTCTCTGAGCATGTAAGAGGCCGGCGCAACCAGGCCCCCTCCCGGCTAAGGTCTGGGGCTGGTTGAATTGCACAGTCAAAAACTCCAGCAACCCTCAATCCAGCTTGCCTGCGAAGTTTCAGCCACGTTGATAACCTATCATCGTGGACTACTGCTGTCGACGATGCTAGGATTGGCAAGAGAAGACTTTTCTTCTCAGCACTCTTGGCCGCCTTGTGATACCTCGTCGAAATCTGTATGAAGTCGGGGGCACCAGATGAGGATGCCTTCGCACTCACATCATGGAGAACTTCATGAACATGGGCCAGGTCGCTCGTCCGACTCCGGGTGTACAGCATCATAAGAAGGTGTGATGCTAATACCCTCTGCTGCAAACTTGCTGACTGGTCAGTAGTCACGGCATGCAACTTTCTGACCTCGGCGACGGTCAATGGCCTTGCCTGCTTTGTCGCTGACTTCATGGCCAGCTGTAGCTCTGCAGATCCAATAATTCTCCTGCTGTTGATGCACGCCTCTGCTCCATCAATTTGAAGTATGTAGTGCCCAAAACGCAGTGCCTGAACAAATGATGTTGCCTTTGTGGGGGCGGCATTCGAGGTCCTCAAGTGCTGGATGTACTCCCAAGCCACGTTCTCACACATGGGCAGGAATTCAAGTTCAAACTGCGTGCAAAACCATCTGTAAAAATGAAGCAACGCATTGACCCTCTTAATGACTGTCCCGGGGCTGCGTGTTCCCAGGATTGCCAGCAAGACGTCACTCCTGCCCTGCTCAGTTGCCTCGCTCATCAGTTGTCGTCCGACACCACTGAACTCAAGTTCAATCTCCAACAGGCACTTCAACTTTGCAATCGCCTTGTCAGTCTGGACCGCACGCTCATCGATGAACGATCTGTCAACCCTGTTCTTTACGCATTTCGAAACTGCAAATACCAACGGCTCTTTTGGTTGCACCTCGACACCTGGGAAGACATCTACAATGGGATCCAAAAGCTGGGCATTCCAATTTGCTGGCATGCTCAATGACGGTGCCGCAAGAGGATCACCAAAGATTGGTGCCAACCATGATTGTTCCCAGGGCAACACAATTGTTGAGGGTTTCATACCAGTTAGGAAAGCATTGGTGACAGACGTGGTGTGGTCCCTGTCAGTAGCAGCTGACAATGGCGGCTCTGAAACCTGTTGCTGATTCTGTGCAAGAAAATCTGAACTGACCAAACTTGGAGATGGTACAATTTCATCTTCTTCGACTCTTCTTTTCTTGGCCCACCGTAACCTGAATCCTTTTAAAGGATCTGAGTCACCCTCGGGCTCACCAGCATCGGATGCTGCAAACAGGTCCGTGGCCTCGTCGACGTCGGCAACCAAGTCTGTGGACAAGAATTCATCCATGGCATCAAAGAAAAACCCCCCGACGTGAAAAATTTCCACAAAGAAAGAAACATGTAACATGCTAAAGTTGCGACCATTGTCATTGACATTGTTTCACATTGAAAAGTTTGACATTCAAACCTGTAAGCCAGAGCTCGGTTGATTCACAGCAGTTCATCACCTCACATCAGAATTTAGTTCGCTTGCCGTTGTCTTGCTTACTTATTTTTAGATGTCATGGCCCAGGACTGGCCACAATGGTCATTCCTGGAAGCGCCTGCGTGCAGTTTGGCAGCAACCTGTGACTCCTGTACTCCCCATGTCCTTATAGGATCGAGGCGATTCGGACGGGCGAAGGGAAAAAAAAGAAATCATGACATAATGACCTCGTACTCCCAAAAACTTGGGGGTCTACCCGTCACGTTATTTACGAACCAACATGCAAACGGAGTTGATATGGCCAAACGTACACATACACAGATGTTAAGCGAGCGCGCCTGCAAATCTTTTCGCACGTGTGAAACTAAGGTACCTGAACCCTTGATTTTGTTCAACACCACAATATTTTACAAATTTCATTGCCTAACATTCAAGTTGCATCAACCTCTTTTTGCGTCACCTTCAAATTTCCTGTGCCTCCCATCACCTCAGTTTCCGCCTTTACCTCCACCTCCCATCACCTCACGTCACATTTTGATTCTTTTCCTTGAAAGCGAAACGCCTGTGGATATATGTATGATTCACCTGTACATGCATGTCATGGCAACTGCAAATGACAACGTGTTGAAGTCACATGTCCAAGTGAAATGCCAATGCATGCAACTGTTTACATTGATATATATGGGATGTGGATTGGGTCAAATCCATTCACCCCGCCTCAACCACTGGTCTTTGACCTTTTGGTTGTTACGTCTAAACTGCAACTGTAGACACCCGGCTAGTGTCTCAAGGCAATTGGGCTCAGTTGCAAGTCGTTCAAAGGCTTTCGTCTCAGTTAAAAACTCGTGCATTGATTGCGAGATCTGCTCACCAATGCTGCAGCATCACATCTCATCCAAGAGTTGCTTAACTAACCTATGTTATACATAAGGCCATTGCATTCATCGATCTGGGAGTTCAGCTGGTGCATCAGATTGATGTCGTTGGCATCTGATGCTGCGTCATACTCAGTCTCCAACCTTCGAAGACGTCTGCGCAAGATGTCATTGGTGTCTTTCATCATCTGCTCGGTGTGTCCATCTGCATATTGTCGATGGGCAGAAGGCTCATCGGTAACACTAGGAGTTCCATGGTGCCAAAGCTGCCAAAGTCCTGGGTCGGAGACTTCGTCCAAGGTGCTTTGGCTGTATCTTTCAAAGCGTTCTTGTGGTGTCTCTCCAACGCTTTCATCGTCTGTTCCCTTTTCTTCTTCGGCACCTTCAACATTGGTCTTGATGGCCTCCTTTTGCTTGCTCTCAGTTTTCGCTCCTTTCAAAAGCTTCAGCACCTTTGTCAAAGCGCCATTCCACTCAAACTGAGTCTTCTCTCCGCGCAGCTCCCGAAGTTCTTTCCTGAGCAAAGCTATGTATCCCAGTGTGATGCACAAAATGGTGACGATCACCGCAAAGAAGAAGCCAAAATAGCTTCCATCCACCACCATTGGTTCTGCTGGAGAAGCGGTGGCAGGAGTAAGGCTCAACGCGCTGATTAACATAACTCTCATCAAAGCCTTTGCATCATGATTGTTCATTTCCGCAAGTGTAAAAAGTTTGATACCTTTGCGTGTCACTGTTTCTTGTTCCAACCTGTCATTCACTTCAGAGCCAACGTACTGTGAAGTACTTAGGTCATAGACCTTGCAAAGAAACAGCAAATAAAGCATGCGATCTCTATTCAACCTTTTTGTACCCAGGTCGCTTGGGTTATGTTTTGTACTAACAGGCCCAACTGAAAGAAACTTTTCCCGCACCTTCTGTTGCATCCATAGCACACGCAAACTGATGTGCCTGATCCGTCCAACACCTGAACGGTGGAAGAAACTTCTTCCAGCAGCATTATCAAGTGCGAGCTTGACTTTCACTGTTTCATTGGGGCCAACACAAAAACATATGCAGTGGTACATGAGAACCGCATCGCTTGTAGCTGACGTACCTGCATACACTTCTGCTTCACAGCTTGAAAGAGCTAAAGCTTTCTGGCTCCTTGAAGAAGAATACAAGAGGTTTCCAAACATGAAAAGGTATCCTGCACTCACTGAACGTCGTGTTGTTCTATGTTTCGCCCAGTCACTATCGCTAAATATCAAGAATATAATCTTCAGGGTTGTAATGCAAAAGTCCTTGGTGGCTCTCGTACTTCAGCATCAGGCACTGGTCTGTGCAACCTAGAAGATAAGTGCAGAGATATCTCAAACATTCCATGGACTGCTTTGTCGGCTTAGACATTGACTGAGAAAGGCCTCGAATAGCATATTGACATTCCACAAAAGTCACTGGTCACATAAAGAAGAATACCAATGCATGAGCGGTAGATGCTGGCCTGCTGGTTGTCCAACATCTCGGTTTTGTCATCCTCATCCAGCATAGGGTGCACTGGCGTTCTCTTAGGTTTCAAACCTCGGCCAATCTTCCTTCGTTCAACCCGTTTCTCAAGGTGCTTGGGGTGGCTCTGGATTGCAAGCTCAAACTCATTCATCAGCATGTGACGACGCTTCAAAAATGTGAGTTCGTCACCCTCGACAGCCATCATCTCGTGAGAGATTTTGTAGCGCGCCTTCAGGGCTGGAAGTAACACGCTCTCAAGGTAGGAGCGCTTGCACAAACAAAGAACATCGTCAACATGTAGGAGCAGTAGGCATGCTGGCCTTCCATGGTTTTCTGTGGTCTCACTTCTCAGCAAACACGGGTATGCGGCACATTCCACAATCTTCAGGTCCTCACGCAAGAAGGAACTGAAACTTTCATGCCACATCTGTGATCCATTGCGCTGTCCTGGCAACACCTTGCCAAGTATGTAGTGGGAGACATTTCCACCAGCATCTTCACAAACCACCTGTGTCAGTTCACGCTGATCGACCATGAGAAAAGCATCAGTGATGTCTATGGAGCACAAAACGTAGTCATCCATTTTCCATTTCATGAACAAACATGGAAGAAGTCGAACTGTAAGGACAGAAGAAGCTGGAGAGAATAAGTCTTGCCTGTCAGGTGAAAGCCATGCATATTCTCTGGCAACGTAACGTGACCTACGCAGCCAAACATGTTCTCCATCCAAATGTTTGTCTCTCCATGTCCTCACCATTCTGGTAGTGAGTTTCTTCGGTGTTTGGCCCGCAACATCATAGCTCTCAGCTGGGATCAGCACACCCATCGCCTTCAGGCGGCTGATCTCAAGTTCATCTGCTAAAAGATCCAATTGGAGAAGTGTGGATGGATCTAGTTCAGGCTCAAAAGTGCTGTGAGGAACACTCAAACGCTTGAGAACATTGTCAGATGCAACATCAGTTGCTGCACCTTCACAACTTTCTTCCTCCATCTCGTACTCATACAACTCCAGGGTGTCAACATCACCATCCTGAAAATGCAAAGGATGCATGTCATCCTCATGCTCGAAGACTGCCATGATACGTGCCTGTTTTGTCGGTCTATTGGCCTCATCAACATCACTTGCACCTTCACGTCCATGTACTCCAGGAGCAGGCAGTGAGGTTCCTGCATGGCCTGAAGCACTACTAGGCTCAGAACTGCTTGGCATTGTCAATGGCAAAGGAGCTGGTGTCATGGGAGTGCTTGGCACTTCCAGTCCAACTGAAAGTGGGATCCCCGCCTCAGCTGAGACCTCCATTTGCGTCTCAAGTTCACCTGCAAAAACATCATGAGCTAAAACGCTGGAAACTGGTGGAGCAACTGCAGCAACTGGTCTGGTAGGTTGAGGACCATCCTCTTGCTCAACAGGAGTTGGGGGCACGTTCATCACTGCCTCAGCATCCAAATCCCTTGGTTTAACTTCAGGAAGAGAAAGAATAGGTGGTGCAGATATACGCTTGGCCAGAACGAGCTGTGAACCTAAAGAGGCATAACCAAAACTCCAAGGACAAGCTTCCACACTTGCTATTCCATCCATATTCCACGGCTTTGGGAAGCGTCTCACGCTCCTTGTCACAAAAAGCTGTGTGCTGCCAGAAACTGCTATGATATGTACGTCATTACTCATAGTTTTCCCTAACCAGATTCCACGTGTCCACTGCGGTGAACCCTTTGTAGTTCTTTTCAAAAATCCCAAAACACTCTCACCAAAAAGTGCCCAACGTCCTGTATACATTTTGTTGGCGCAAAGTTCATAGGCTGTTGAACCCTTTCTAATAACAAAACGATTGTGCAACCAGGAGCTATGTAAGAGTGCCCAATGGTAAAGAGGATGATGACAGCCAATTGTTTGTCCAAGTCCACAACCTTTCTCCAACTGGTCGATGAGAAGGTTGGCCTGCTGTCTGATCACCTTCACAGTCACTTCAGCCAGTTTCTGTTATGGTCTGAATACCCAGTCCACGGCAGGTTTTCTTCACGGCCTCAAGCAAGGAAAGTGTTGATGGCTCTTGATCACATTTCAAACCAACTGTTGTGTGTCCAAGCCAAACCAAAAATCTGCAAAACTCTGTGCAAAGATAGTTGAGATAACGACCTCCTTTGGCAGGAGTAGGAATCACATGCATAGCGCCAGTATCTCGGTCATGAATATACAGTGCACATGAAGTATCTTCACCAGCAAGTCTCGAAGAGTATCCAAAGTCGAAAGAGACACATGAATGTGAAGTAGTTGAATTCTCTTGCTCTTTGTGTGGATCTTGAACTGCACGGTGTGCAACACAAAGCTCACACCAGGGCGCAAACGGCTGGTGTGTAAGGCTATGCCTTGCTTGTTCTTCAGCTGAAGGCTCATCTGGCACGGGTTGTGAGTAAACAGGTCTTGCTATCTCACTTTGAAGCTGATGATGTGCAGCATGTGCGGCTAACAATTCCTGGGCTTGAAGATGATTCCAAAGTCGTTTCAAGCACTTGATCTTGCCTCCTGATTTGCTAAGACCCAAAGAGTCACACGCAGCTCTCAAGGTCCTCAAAGAAGAATTGGTGTCGAGTTTAACACCATCAACCCAAACTTCATGATGCTCCATGCCATCTTCTCTTGCTTCAACTGGGGGCTCTGCGTCCTCTGCAGCTGGTATCACATCAACGTCGGGTTGCTCTGCAGGTTCAGCTGCATCAGCTGGTTGAAGTGGCCTGACAGGGATTCCAGATCGTGGAGCAATGATGTCATCAGATACTGAAAAACCAAGATGTTCAGGAGGAACCATGGAGGTGTGAGCAATGGTGATAGATTCCACCACGCGCTTCTCAGTGTTGAACGGTCCAACCATGGTGGGTAATTCAGCAATGCTCTGTCCAAATTCCTCCAGTTCCCATTCACCATCATCACCCTTGATCAAAGTTGTACGCAACCAAAGTAAACCGCTACTAGGACAATAAGTTGTGTCAACATGATTTGGAGAAATACTTCGAAGACCAAAAACATTCTCACTCAATTGAATCCAACCTTGTCCCATGCCTGTCAAAGCTCTGCCCAAGGTGAGGGCTCTCACATGTCCTGCAGACTGCACCTGGTCAGAAGATGAAGAAGTTGATGATGAAACGTCAGTGTTCTCTCTCAGCATGCGTATCACTCCAGTGGCACACAAAGAGTTGCGCTTGAAGTGAACTGGTATGTGCCTATGCTTTCTGACAAGGTTCATGGTTCCATCACCTTATTTCTCCACAAAACCAGGATCGATTGAGACTAATCCAACACTGGTGGTGGAAGTTTCAAATGTTAAATTGATATCCATACAATTATATCTTAAATCATATGGCGTATCGTTGTAATGTAAGGTAAGTGGAATTTATGTAAATATATCATTTACATAAATAAAACTTACTACAAAGAAAATAGTCGCAGTCGCCGACGCTTCGAAAACGAAAACGCAAGTGCACCACACTCGGACTTATTATTGATTTCCTTTTTGCTTCCAGTAATTGCACTGTCGGGGGTCAAATCCAAAGCCGGTCGTGGTTCCAGCTGAGCTCATCTTTGGTGCGTTGGATGGGCCATGATTCCATCATTGTCAAACGTTGACACGAAGTGATTTGATGCTAAGTGTCAGAGCACCCGATGATTCCCCAATTTTTGGGTGGGAGTGAGAAACGGGGTGGGTGAAAAAATTGCCCTTATTTAAAAGGGACTCCCGCCCTCCCGCCACTTGATTGGGAAAAGTCACAGCATTACAAATGATGATGTGACGTGTGAAGGATGTGGTTGTTTCCAATGGAATTATTGAATGCCACATCGAAAATTTAAAAATTGAAATGGGAAGTTGAACGCCAAATTGTTTGCGTCTCCACATTTGGTTGGATGTTTCAACCCTTAACAAACGTTTGTTTACCACCAACCAGAGATGATTCATGTTGATCCTTATTTGTGAGGCTTCACAAATTTTTGTTTGGAGAAATAAGGCTTTCATCTTTTTCAAAAGAGTGACATCTTATTTCTCCACAAAACCAGGATCGATTGAGACTAATCCAACGCTGGTGGTGGAAGCTTCAAATGTTAAATTGATATCCATATAATTATATCTTAAATTATATGGCGTATCGTTGTAATGTAAGGTAAGTAGAATTTATGTAAATATATCATTTACATAAATAAAACTTACTACAAAAAAAAATAGTCGCAGTCGCCGACGCTTCGAAAACGAAAACGCAAGTGCACCACACTCGGACTTATTATTGATTTCCTTTTTGCTTCCAATAATTGCACTGTCGGGGGTCAAATCCAAAGCCGGTCGTGGTTCCAGCTGAGCTCATCTTTGGTGCGTTGGATGGGCCATGATTCCATCATTGTCAAACGTTGACACGAAGTGATTTGATGCTAAGTGTCAGAGCACCCGATGATTCCCCACTGCAACTAGTGCTCTGGCAGGACCAACTCTGCAAGCTTTCGACTTTGCTTGCTTGCCTAAGCCAGGGTGCTTCGAAGCTCATCCTTGAAGGTTCAACCGACGGGTTGCTGTGGTTTGCAACTCTCGCGAACCATGGAGAAAATTGGCAGGACAAATGCAGACCTTTCTGTATCACGTAGCCAGATCGGAGAAAAATCTAGCGGGATGGTTGGTCTGCTGGGTTGCTGCGGCTGGCAACTCTTGCAAGCCAAGCAGTGAAACGGCATTTGTGTTCAAAATTTACATAATCTGTAACCAGAGTAGTACCCAGGGAGGTCGAAGCACTTGCAGAATGAAATCTGATCTCGATGCAACGCTGTCCAGATAATGGAACACCACTTTTCCCGTGAAAAAAATTAACCACGCTCTGATCTCAACGACCACTGGAAATGTTTCGAGTTCGTACAATGGAAAAAAGGTTGAGCCATAAAATGCCGTGCAGTATAGATGTGCATCATACAGCTGAAAGATCGTTCATGGAAAGGTCCTTCAGGTGTAGGATGCAAAACAAACCTGTTTGTCCCCCGCTGGGATCCATCGGCAGAATGGAAATTGAGGGAAGCAGAAAAAAAAGGGGGTTGTAGGCACTCCCGTAATGACGTCCATACCAGCAGAAAGCGTCCAGGAGAAAACTGTCTATGTCTGGCCCACTGGACAAAGGTGCGTCCAGCGAATTCCCCCATAGATGCCAAGATGGAGTATCCAAAATAAGGCAGTCAGTATGGTACGCTCTGAATAACCCTGGAAAAATTTGCAGGGTAGCGTACGGTTGCGGAGACGTACGCAGTCACCAAAGCCAGTGCCAGAATGCCAGAATCCGCAAGAAATGTAAGCTCCGAAATACGGACCACTTTACCAGACGGGTTCAGCAGAATGCCACTGATGCTTTTCATCAGATGGTTTTCCAAGTCCATTAGTGGCCCCTTGAGTCGGCTTTCCAGCGTAACTCTCTGGAAGGTTTCCTCGAGAACCTGGACATTCCACTGAGAAGAACCGCGTGGCCACATTCATTTGTAAACGGTAAAGCTGGAAGCCATCGTTCAAAACGTAGTCCCACTGTAATGTTGCCACAAGCAATTATAAACGAAAAGGTCCAACTGTAAGGTTGCCACATGTAATTGTAAACGAAAACGCAGGAAGCCGTAGTCCAAAACGTAGTCCACTGTAATTGTAACGGCCAATGAATTGTGAATGAAACTTCTGAAAGCCCTCGTTTCCTAAGCGTGGCACAGCTGTGAATCTTGACCGCCAGGGATCAGCCACCCAAAGTCACAGCAGTGCGGGGCGAGCGCCTCTCGAAGCAGAGCCGAAGGGAAAAAATGCCCTCCTATCATGAGGTAGCCCCCCCCCTCATCGAGTGCCTTGGGCCCGCTCCAAGTTCTCCAACCTGGTGCGGAGACTGTTCACCTCGTCGGAGAGTTGTTGAATGCGACGATCTTGTTGAGCTCGGTCTGTCTCACAACTGTCGAAAAATTCCCATGAGGAGATATGCCTGATGAAGAAGACTTTGTAATCCTTGGCATCGTCCTTGTCGGCGCTCTTCACATGGCAGGATTTCAAGCCGTCTTCGATGGCTTTGGCCAAATCTTCTGACCAGATTTGTATTGACATCTTCAAAGGAAGGTCACCCATCTTTGTGGTCATTGGGAGTGGCTTTCTCGATTGAAAGGAGTAGACTCGGATCTCACTTGACCTCTTGTTAGAGATCCTGGTGAGGAACTGCGATAGCTGAAGGCCGCCCTCGGCAACGACTCTGAAACCCGAGTGCCTGTGGGGTGCTGGTTCCGAATCTTCGCTGTCGACATCCAGGTTCTCTCTGGGCGTCAGCATGGTGAAATGGTTTCCTCGAGATTGGTCCGGATATTCACAATGCTTAGAGCTGCGAGCCAACATTTTAATAGAAAGGAAACTGGGTGCTAAGATAGCAATACACCACAACAGGGTCATTCCGAATTTCAGGGTATACCTGAGTTATGGTGTGTCAGCTTGTGTCGTCTGTTAATCAGAAAGCGGTTGAATACACAGCCAGGCAACAAAGCATGGAACTTCTACCGGCAGAGACTAATCTCTTCATTCCATAGGGTTCTACCGAACCTGTTGTCCTTGTAAGTTGCAAAAACCTACCTTTGCAAACATGGCTATCAGTTCCTTTAGTGAGAAGTGTATTTCCCCTCAAGGATTTAACCAGATAAAACACGATCGGGTCCGATGTCTAACATCCAAACGATCCACACGGATGATTTGAATAGCACAAAAGTTCACAATCCGAAGCCCTCGAGGGTCCAAGATCCAAAATAAAAGGCGCTAGACAATGAATCCAATGGTTTCTTGAAATGCTTGGGATGCTTTCAGGATTCAAGATCCAAAGTAAAGGCGCCCGACACTGGATCCAATGGTTGCCTGAAATGCTTGAAATGCCTTCAGGCGTCCCGACTGACCCCCGAACAAATTGACGGTTGAAGGCAAACTTTCTCTGGACCACATGATTGTCCTGCTTTGAGGTTTGTACCTGCCTGAGTGATACACAGCGATTGTCACGGCCCGAAAGAATAGTATGCGTCAAGGAAAGCCAAAAGTTGGCCAGTGAATTGTGAAACTTGGAAATTGTGCCATGAATTGTCGGTTCATAGTTAAGCACGAACAAAACTTCCTGAGTCGACCCTGACTCGCCAGATCTGTGGATACGCACAAGGAAATTTAAAATGTCCACCTCCCATCGAGTTCGATGTCCGCCGATAGATGTGATGCGTCCAGGGCCGCGTCCTCTAGGAGGGTGATTTGTAAGGCCTGGCACACCAGGTAGACCTGCGATTTTTCGCCTTCCAGAATGATCATCTTGTTGAGCTCCTGCAGTTGGTCCAGTACATTCGATAGGAAAAGCTTGTGCTTCCGGATTGAATTTGATTCTGTTCCTCGCTCAAACAAAAGTTTGTCCGTAGCCGCCAGGTAAACAACAGTTGTGGCCAATTCGGCATAATCTGGAAAAGCGAAAATTCGATGACCTTCGAGAATGACTGCTCCTGTTTGGAATTCTTCGTTCGAGGTAACAGATGATATAGATTGCCGCATCCGAGGCCACGCCGGTTGATCTTCACTCCAAAATGAATCTGTGCAGTATACCCAAAGGGAAAAATAAGGCCTCTTGTTGCGCGCAAATAACCAGAAATTTTTGCTCGTAGTCTTTGTACGCGTCAAACCCAAGGTCTTGGCCAGGTGAACTGCTAGGCTGGATTTGCCGACATTGGGGGCACCTGATATTACGACGACCGACTCAGCAAGCTTGTCCAAAAGGTAGGGGTACCAATCGGCAGACGTCACTTTGCCAGCAAGCTCTTCCACTGTCGTGACGTGGCTCTGCCAGTAGCAAAGGTCTCGTAAAATTCCTCGCAAATTGCTGTGGTCGATCGTGTCACATATGGATTCCTCTGGTGCGGAAAGGACATTGCCGCTGGCCTTTCCTTTGCCTTTGTGCCCAGGCGGCGTCAAAGCAGGAGGTTTACCCCAATACTAATACTTGCCGCTTGGATGAGTCGATAAAGGTGGCGGTTTCCCTGCGAACCTACGACTCATGGCAAACAAATGTCGCGGGTCCCAAGAAACCTCAAGCTTATGTGGTTGTTGCAAAAACCAACATATCAATTCCTGACTGCATGATGGTCAGAAGTTGTGACTTGAAAAGAAAATGGGCTTCGAGTTCCTGACAGCATGATTGTCGGAGACGTCAGCCTGACTGAGAACTATGCGGTTCTTGCCACTTCAGAACATCCAATTCCTGACTGCGTGATTGTCAGAAGCTTGATTTTGAAAGAAAATCGAACGTCCACTTCCTGACTGCATGATTGCCGGAAACTTGAACCTGAATGAAAACTGAACACCAAATTCCCGACTGCATGCTTGTCCGGAACTTGGTTCCAGCATGGAACTGAAGTAGCATTTCGTGACTGGACATTCATGAAAAAACTCCGGGCCTTACTGAATACCTCGTGACAACTTAGTTTCATCCAGCATGCTTGGAATCACTGTGAGTCATGAGATGTATGATATGTCAAACAGATAATAGGCCTCTGTTACCTGGATTCCAAACTCTCGACCTATACAATCGAGATTAGTGTCCCTAAACTCTGACACTAAATTTCAAAACAACTCGGCTACACGACAAAACCGGACTCTTCCAACCGTTCACTCTGGTCAATGTATTGCCGTCCAACAGGATCACAGTGTGCTTTGACCGCGTCCTCCACGACCTCTGGGTTCAGTGTGATGAGGCCACTCTACGAAACCTGCCAGCCAAGGCTAGATAGTCGTTGGCTCGAGCTTCATCTTCTCCACGGAGCCCATCCGACAAGCTCTCGAGGTGGTCCCCCAGATATGCAAATAGACGAACCTGGTCTTGTCGATTCAGAAGCCTATCTTGATGGGAAACATCTATGAAGAATAGGAGCGCCTGCTGAAATAGGAGCGCCTGCTGAAATAGGCGAGCTCTGGTAAAATCTTCCCTCACCAAGCAGTTGTACAACTCTATTTGTAGTTTGTTGCGTGCGATCGCCCAGAGAACGTCCCGAGGCAACGATGATCCGTCCCCCACATCATTGAATTCAATGAGAAGTTGGGTGTCTGCAGTTGCCTCCTCCCTGGGGTAATCCAACCTTGCACCAACCCCTCCAACTACATTGAAGTCGCTTTGCAGGCCCAACAACCTATCTTGGTGAAGAACCGTTGACATAAACCCGTCCTGGCCCATAGCGCGGTATGCCATCATGTTCCGTCTCTCCCGGGCAAAAAATTGTTGTCTTTGTTGGATTGATAAGCTCTGATAGGGATTGAAACCTCCAAGGCGTACCATTCCAACGTGCTGCCATCCAACTTGCTCGGCCAGACGGTCGTGATCTGCAGTAATCCCATCGAGGTCCTCCCGGAGCCTTCCAACGGCGGAGAATAATTCCGAAAGCGCACCATTCAAGGAGCTCACTTCTCGTCTCAAACAATTGTTCTCACTGTTGATGCGATCGAATGCTGACCCAAGTGTGGCATAATCAACTTCCTCCATGGTAGTTTCTGGTGGCAAAAATTTCCACCACTTTCGAACTACCCAAGTGGCAAATAAACTGATCGCTGAACAAAGAACAGGCACCAGCCATGACATCGAAGTGCCGTTGTTTGCAGATGAATCTCCTCCAGGTCCAAGGCACTCGTCTGTACTGCCGAGATAGTCCGGTCCCCGGTTTGCTCATCTGCTAGCTGGAAGCTCATGAAGCATAAACACGCCCAGGGTTGTAAGCTGGAGCGCTGTCCGACCAGCCGTTGTATCGAAGTGTAACAGTGGCGACAAACACAGTCCATGTAGATAACTTTGTCCACAATACTGTCAATAGTGATAGGGGATCAGTAGGTAGGGGTCAAGTGGTAGGGGTGAAAGTTAGTTTTACTCAAAACCACCTCAGCAACATACGGTTGAGTTGAATTGAGAAAACACGACCATTCGATCACCATAAACGACCAATGATCACAAACACATGAGTTGGGATGTTAAGTGCTATGAATGAATTAAATGTCAGCGGTGGCTGGCTCATGAACCCACCCCTTCTTTCCACTGCGCTTCACGCCAATCGTTCCTCCATCTTAGCCAATGCCTCTTTGAGGTCTGACCGGGCAGGAGGGGTGTAAGACGAATCAAAGTCAGGTTCTTCTTTCCAGAACCTCTTGTAGGTCATTGCCACAAATTCAAAAACAGCCTCAAGGGCATCTAGTTTGCTCTCGATTGTTTTGGCTGGATCTTTCTCTTTCTCATACCACCGTTGGGACCGGGTTCTCTGGGCCGCACCCATACCTGAGATTCTGAGATTGGTTCAAATAAGATTTTTGCTCCCGAAAAAAAATGACACAATTGAAATTAAAAGTGATGTATGAAAAAGTCAAGATACGCTCTTTCTGAACAAACTCCACAGTGACACGGAAGTTCTTTGGCGCCCACTTGAAGTAGCAGTAACTGACCAGTGGGAAAAACTTCAAAAATTCGGGTGGAGCTCTGATGTTCAAACGCTGCAACTTCTCTTCATGATCTTTTGATTCATCACCTGTTCGTGGAGCTTTGGATCTCGATCCCGATGCCCCCGATGATTCAGGTTCATCTTGTTCCAAACCTCGTTTGGGCTTTCGACCGCGTGTTTTCTCTTCTGCCTCATCATCATCCTCATGTTTCCCCTGTTTGCATTTTGCGATGTTGGCACGCATTGCTGCCACCTTCAACTCATCAATTGCAGCCTTGCGGACATGTGAGAAGTGCTGGGCCTCATTCGTGTCAAGCATTGAAGTCAACTTGAGGAGATACTCAGGGGCGTCTTCAGGTCGCACCTGCTTTCTCACCATCAGAGATGTAATCATGAAAGCCTTCTCTTGTTCGGAGGCAAGGGGGAACAGCCCAGTAACCAAAGCAGTACAATGGTCAACTTTGATGACCCGCCCGCCCTTTCCCGAACCAGAACCTGGCAAAGGCTCCTCAATTTTGAAAGCTGTGATGATTGATTGTACTTGTTTGACCGTCAAGAAGATACCTGTTCTCAAAGATGCGATCACCACTGATTCAGGTTCCCCAGTGATCTTAATAGCCAGTGGCAGGCTACCCAGGTTTGTCGGGATACAAGCTGGTGGAACCACGGTGGTTGGGATGGCTTTGAATGGACACCCGTCTCCAATCATATAGTTGAAGACCCACTTGGGGAAACGCCGCTCCTTCGGTTCAAGAGTGATGATGTCCTGAACAGAGAGGGCTGAAGCTGGAACAAAAAAATCAAACATTCGTTCATGAGACATCAATAAATTTGGTTTGTTGCAACCCTTGAAACCAAACAAGGAAGACCATGAGATTTTTGGTCTATGGTCCTCATGTCTGCGAGCAGAAATGGTCAAGCAACCATAGGCCATGAAGCCCAGACTCAAGTGGTACTCTTCGGTTTGCTCGTTGAAGTACACCTCGCCCCGTTTGAAAAGGCAGCCTGCCAATTTCAGTTATGTTGGCAAAGTGCAAATCACAAAATAGTACATGAATCATGTCCATTTTTTGATATGTCGTACCACCCTCATACAGATATGCAGACACACAGACATGACAGAATCCAGACATCATAGACAGACTTATATTATTTGGCTAAGTACACATGGTGCACTAGGTCATCTTGAACAATACAACGCAGAAACAAAACTATCTGAGATAAGTAATGCGAGTCATAATATGCAAAAACTCAGGAAAAGCACTGATAGTGACATCACACAACCAAAAGAAACACAAACCCTAGCCTGGCCAACACTGACCAGCGTGACTGAAGCCATGTGCAGCATCATGGAGCATGAATGCAGCCGCTGCTGCCGCATTCCGATTGGAATGGAAGCCAGCTGTGCGAACCTTGGCATTCATGAGTTGTTCGGGCCGAGGAAAATTCTTCCCCAGGGGTGTTTCCTTGTAGGCAAAGAGGTGGTGCTGCAACACTTCATTGTCTTTGAACCCTTCCTGCAACAGATCCTTGAAATGCTCCATGGTTGGTCGGATCTGTTCGACCCCTGCATGGCGGGCATAGGGATTCGCCAGCGTGTAAAAAAACCTGGTAAAGGGGCCCATCTTCTTGCTCTTGGAAGATTTGACACTGTCCTTGAGAAAGTTGAATGCGCTCTCTAAAGAGTCTTTTGTGGATCCTGGTCCAGCAAACAACGTAAACACCAAGAGACGAAGTTCTGCATCATTTGGGTCCCAATCGCAATCGTGACCTTGTTTCAGAATTTCTCTTACCAGTGCCCAGTCCGCTGTGCCCAGTGAGTCACGCAAAACTCTGAGGTCATGATTTGCTGGCGACTTCTGGATTGCATCTTCCAGTGCCAACAGTGCATTGGCCAGTCTCTTGCACAGCATTTGGCAGCGACGACGGTCAGTAGTGTCGGTTGCATAGAGGCCGGCAATGTTGTATGGAAACAACAAAGTCCAAAAACTCTGACTCCAGCAACGGTTGGCCCCAAGCTCCATCACAAAACGAAAAAACTGTTGCACCAACTTGGTATCAGTCTCAAGTAAAGGGCTTGAAGGCTCCATGATTTGACCATGAAGAGATGGTTGTTGCCGCAAACCCAACAAAGAGACAATGCTCGTGTCTTTCAACAGTTCAAACATTTTGACCACCGTGTTCCTGTAGTAGGTACCACTGGCACGGTCACCATGCCAATAGAGAACATAGGTTTGACCATCACTGTGAGCTTTCAGATCACTTTGATATTCCGAATGCAAAGGATTCAAAACATGACAAATCAGCCTGGCTTGCTTTTGCAAAGTCCGATCCTGTAGAAGATCAGCGGCAAACGCCGCAGTGTTGCTGTAGTTCTCTCGCAAAAGCTGCAGCTGCTTCATTGTCTGAGGATCAAGAAGCTCCGCGGATTCAGCTGCTGGGTCCTGACTGCGCAAGGTCTGGCAAGGGGGGGTAAGCAATATATACGAAGGGATGTTTTGAATATTATGTTGTGTTTGCATGACTGGGCAATTCACTGGGGGAAAAAATGCTTTCCCAATATAATATATTATCCAATGGCTCAAGCTTTTCATTGTTCAATAACAACAATAAATTGCTCACACCTGGTAGGTGAGGGACAGGGATGAACCAATGGTCAATATCTTTCCATTTAATTACACGGGGGATGTGCCGTGTAAGTGTGCACAGTATAGGTATCATGGTACGCATGACTTAAACTCTGATTGAATGTGTGTGCAAACATTGGTCTTATCATGACCCACGCATAGATGTGAAGTATTGGTGATGCTCAAAAAAAGGCTGAGTGTCTTCATCACCTTGTTCATCGCCGTCATCCCACCACTCATTAGCATCATCAAGGTTGTCCAGCTCTGTCTGTGCAAACCGAGATGTTTCGCTCAGGACAGTCCAGCATGAGTCCAACATGCGGAAAGCCTCGATGCAGCCGAACCAGCTCTTGTTTTTTGCCTCGCAGGGACTGGGTGGGTTGCTCCCGTGGACGTCATTAGTTGAAATAGAAACCGTCCATAGCATTATGTACGGACCGATGGGTAGTTGATTTCCCCATGCATGACTCATGGTTATCATTAATCCACGACGGTGATGTACGGCTCCTTAATAATTTTAGACAAGGGATGGGGGCTAAGTCGTAAGTCAGCCGAAATCGGCCGGAATCATGTGGTTGAACCAGACAACAACTTGACCCGTTTTTTTCTGAACGCATGTATTTCAAATATTTACACGGCTTGGCTAAAAATGTTTTAATTTAAGGTATGGATGGCCTGCTTGAGCCTCCCAGTGATGCCAGGCGATGCCATCCAATCATCTGCAGTAAGAATGAGATCACCTTCCCCAACACGCTGGTCGAAGCAGTAGTCATGGGTAAACTGTTCAAACCACTCATGGTCCTTCCCCTCCAAAAGAAGTTCAGCGGCAGCGTGATTGGTGAAGTGATTTCTTCCACTGGTGTAAGGGCCCGAACCACACTGACATATGAGGGTGAGTTTCAGGGATGCTCCTTTTAGTCCACAAGCCACAAGTGCACGGCCGTAGTCTCCCCACTGTTGGTGGGCAGAGTCAGGAACCGCTAGCCCCCGAAGCCCCAATGAAAGCAGGATGTTGAAGCACCTGAAGCCCACTGCCTCCTCCTCTGCTGCCTTAGAAGATTTTAGAAGTAAGTCGCAGGCAGTGGGCCAGCCTAGGCATGTAATCATGATTTACGGTGCCTTTACTTGATTCAATATAAGATCAAACAGTCAGGGTGATAATACAGGCAGCGTGGACATATTTTTTTATTAATACCGTATTATTATATTCAACATTGTGCAATATACATGTATGTGATGTAATGTATGTCATGTGTGCAGGAAATCAAAATTACATCTGAATGAATAATTCTGATCCGGTCGATGATGTGCACGCCACTGCACATCAATATCCTACCTTGACCCCGACTGACTCCGGTGGTTGGTCAACAAAAAAATGACATTGATGACATTGATCCAAATTAAATAAGTATGAGGGGCCATTGTCAAAAGCGGTCGATCTGCCAGTGGAGATATGGCCGGCCCCTGTTCAACACCAGCCGTGCCCAACTGAGGCAAAGGATTCTTGATCATGAAGTGCTCGAGACAGTTGCCAGTCAGCAAGTGAAGCGAGTGGTTCATGCCCCGCATCAGCACCTGCGAGTAGTGGTTCACTATGACATAAACATGTTATGGTCAAGTCAGAGAAACATGAAAGACATGTTGAATGATGGTAGCATGTCCGATTTCATTTCGATTGATTCTACAGATTTCCCGAATCACCCATGGGTGGCTTAGACAAGGCACATAGACAGCGTTGCTGACTTTCTTGTTGAATGACCTGTGGCCAAGAAGAGATAAAGCAAGACCCCAGTGCCCAGTGATGTGTTTTGGAAGTAACTTGCTCAAAAACATTGAGTTCATGTGTTCGAACAGTAGTCAATGGGTTGACTGGTTGGTGGAACAAAGCGGAATTTCTGGTTATCTATCGGTTTAATTGGATGGTTTGTTTGTTGGATTATTTGTCAAGATTTTATTTGTGACTGGTCAAGTTCATACTGACTTGAAATTCAATTGCCTAGCTCATCGCTGTTGCATGTTTTCAGAACCATGCCATTGCCAATAATGATCCAAAATATAAAAAGGTTGAACAAGTCAAGTCGTCGAACAAGCCACATCATGTCAAATACTTTATCATTATCACCCAGGACGGACTGAACTCTACCAGAATGAATTTACAAACAGGTAACCAAATCTTCGATATCTATATAAAGTAAGTAAAGAATCAAATTGGGTAACTCAATGTTGTTGGGTCCGGGGGGAATCATAGATTGGTGACGAGTGACGGACTGACTGACCGAACGAAGGAACGACCTAATGAGTGAGTGAATGAACGAATGAATGAATGAATGAATAATGACTGAATGAATGAATGAATGAATGAATGAATGAATGAATGAATGACTGACTGACTGACTGAATGAATGAATGAATGAATGAATGAATGAATGAATGAAATGAATGAACGAATGAAATTCATTTCATTCGTTCATTCATTCAATCCTGAATGTAGGCGTGGGTGGTCTTTCAGTCATGTCTTGTAAAAGTGTGTTTGTCAACTCAGGTCATGATGACGATGATGATGATGATGATGGCGACGATGATGATGGGTTGAACATCATCATCATCATCGTCATCATCATCATCATCACCTTCATCATCATCATCATCATCAGAATCATCAATGATTGATTGAATGTTGAAAGTAACAAATGCAATGACCCATTACAGATCAGACAAAACCATTCAAATGCGATTTGTTGCCATTTCTCACTCAGCCACTCATGGGTCCTAGGTTACTTCCTTCATTCTGAATTCATCTTCAATTCATTTCAGTTGAAATCAATATTAATAAGAACAACCAATCAATATAAATCAACTGTATAATAATAAGAAGGGTGAGACTGTTACATTCAGCCTTTTCCCCAGTCATTCCATTCCCAGGCCTGAACATGCGAGCCTCCTCGCTGTCCCGAAACAAGGCAAAGGGGTCCAGGGCCTAGGGCCGGCCGAGGAACACCGTGGTGCAAAATCAAAATTCTAAGAAGGTTGACCCCTGGAAAACTTAAAACGTTGGAGTTTTTGTTTGATTTTGATTCGATTCCACTGGTCCACCAATACAACCCCCAAGGACAGACTGGCGGCCACACTTTTTTTTTGGCAGCCAACGTCAATATCAGATCGTCAATCCTGTCACTTGACGTAAGTGGCCGGTTATCAAAAAATCAGCGCCCCACCTCAGAAGCTGAGAACAACAGTGGGTATTATTAAACTAAACCAGTCATCATGACCACAATTGCGCACATATTATTCGCCCATAATAAATCAAAATGAGATGGGTGAAGCTGAGTCACATAGCTGGCAGCGTCCTCACTGTGATGCTGGCTCGCTTGGATCCAATTTGAGAAACTATATATATAAGTTGAATTCAACCATATTCAAAGTTGATGGTAGACGAGCCAAGATTGCAAGGAAAAACATTAGCCAGATATCAGACATGTCAACTCATGTCGAAGTACTCACTTTGGCAAAGCCTTTGAAGCACCCTTGCCCTTGCCTGCCTTTGACTCACTAGCCTTTGCCTTCGGCTCTTCTGGCTTTGGAGTAGGTGGCTGAGGTGGCTTCGGTTCAGAAGGCTTGGATGGACATGGCTTCGGGTCGGATGCCTTTGGCTCAGTAGCAGCATCAGCAGCACATCCATTCTGTGGCGGCACAGGTGGAGGCGGCGGCAGCATCAGCGCAGCTGCTTTCGCAGGCTCGGCTTCAACAGCTCCCACAGGCGCTTCAGGTTCAGGTTCATTAGGTGCAGGGGCATCCGTCGGAGTGACAGGTCCAGGTGGCGTGTCTGCCCCAGGTTCCCACCTTGGAGACCCATGAAATTGTGGAAAGATCATGCAACATACTTTCCATATTGAATTGTTGATAATTAGACATGTGCTTTCACATGCATCTTGATATGCAGTCATATTTGGGTAACTTATCGTGAATGATGCACCGAATTCTCAAATGTCAGTAGTTTTAAGGCATCCCAAGTGTATTGAACATCAACACAGTGCAATGCAATCGACAATATGTGGTATGTGCTTTTAATTACAATGCACACTGCATCAATCAACTCCATCGTTCATAATTTCTACACCTGGTTCATGACTGAGTCGGTGGGTGGCCTCTTATGATGCTTGCTTACTTATTTGGTGTATTATTGAGGAAAACTTGCTTCACCTGGAGTCATTTGTTTTCACGCCGGGGCAGAAACATCGTCACAATGTCATCATCTGGCTTGTCTGTCTTGGCCAAGAATCCAATCTCTAAAGATTGGTTCAATTCAATCATCATATGGATGAATGACATGGGTCACGATCCAAGAACACCATAAGTAAAATGAGGATATGCCACTTCTTTTTGAAGTGGATTTCGATTTCAAAAGAGCTGGCTCGCTGGCTACTTCATTCTGACTTACATCTACAACTTGACCATTGCAAATCCATTTTGAATGTTTACGTTGTTTATGACTTAGTGTTGGCAAAGTCAACGATTCGTATATAATGACATGCAATTGGGATACAGCATCATGGAGCCTGCCAAACTCAAACCTACTGGCTCTCTGGCGTCTTTGGCGCACAGGCCATCAACAAAAGCTCTGGCGGAGTCTGTGGCAAATAGATCGGCATAGGTGGGGTTCTGGGCACCATATTGCCAAAACCACCTGGTGGTGTTGGTGGGGTTCTGGGAATTGAAAACAGAACGTCACCTCCTTCAGACCTGTCACTGTAGTAGCCTTCAGGAGTCATGGCAATGGATTCAGGCCCTTCCCACCCTGAAATATCTGACATAGGCGATTGGGGTGTGTTGAGCCCAAGCACCGGTTCACCATCACTATCACCATTCATTTGTCTACGTGGGGACCGGCTGCGACCACAGTCATCATCAGATTCTGGGTCACGAAAATGCTCAAACTCCGATGGCACCATCATGTGGATTGCTGATGCTGGTGTAGTCCAGGCTGACCTTGGCATTTAATGTTGTTTCGTTTGTTTTCGATTTGAAGAATATCAGTGTGTGTGTGTGAACTAAATCTCTAAGTTAGTTGTTTGTTTTATTGTTGATATTATCGTGCAATGACTTTGGATGATATAAAATGGCACAGGCATACATGTAAGTAAGTGCTACCTTGAAACCAACAAGACAATGCACATAGTTAACCACTGGAACCAAAATCAAACTTAAACTGGCTGAGTCGAGGGTCCTCCAGAACTCTTCTGATTCACAAATCCACCACGATTCATGATGAGAATCAGAATGATCAATTTCCATCCCAACAAACTCCATTGCCTGTGCCTTTCGCTTGACGGGTTTGGAGATAGCCGCTGCCGACAGGATGGATGGTGGAGCCATTGCTGGAGGAACGAGAAGCCAGGACTGCCGAACCACTCACTCGAGCCAGGGAAATCTGTGGTGATGGAATGGGTTTCTTGAAAATTTGGAGTTTTTTTGAATCTTTTTGGAGTTTTTTTGAATCTTTTTGGAGTTTTTTTGAATCTTTTTGGAGATGTCCACCATGAATCTACCCCAAACCAGCCAAACTGCTGGATTTAGCTTGTGTTTGAGAGGTTTTGAGAGAGTTTGAGAGAGATTTTGAGAGAGTTTGAGAGGGTTTGGGGAGTGCCTGAGAGGGTTTGAGTCTCTCAAAATCTATCAAAATCTTTCAAAAGCATCAGGGATTGAATGGAAATGTATGGAAATCAGTCACCCAGCGGCCTACTCAAACAAGCCAACAGACCTCGATCCAACCCCCCCATCCCAGATTCCCAGACCCCCACCAGCCAAGTGTCTTTCTGACTCTCTTCAACTTCATCAGTCCCTTAACCGACTTGGGGGTCTTGCCAGGGGTAGCGACGAAATACTCCCCGGAGATAAGATCCAGGGCCCAAGAGAAACCAACAGGAAGATCCAGCACATGGCCATCATAATGCAAAGTTTGGGTCCCATCAGTGCTCGTCTCAATTGTTGGCGGCATTGGTTCCCAAGGATCAGGTGAGAAGTCCTCGTCAGGGAAATAAGGTCGGGACAGAAGTAAAAACTATTTGACTTGTCATTAAATTACAGTAGTAAGTGCATTATTATTAATATAAATTATATTGATGCATGCACAACCCCATAATTAATTTAAATTACACCCAGGAGTGTTGGGACAGCCAGCTTAGCAGATACGAAATATGTGAATATAATGCACGTAACAGTATGCAGCATAAGTTTACTGAGAGCTATACCTAGCTAGTACATATCATCGAATTGATCAGTGGGTGGCTTTTTATTATTTGATACTTATTATTTATGTAAGTTATATTACAGTAAGTTCTTGGCGAGTCAGAAGCTGCAAGCTCTTTGGTAATGAATCAATATTATTGACCAACTGTTTTGTGTGGCTATGCTATAATACTTGTAGTTACTTTGGGGACACCCCTGTGCCACAAAAAATTAGACGCAGACTCAATCCTGGATCCATGTCCTCGGCTTCATCAGCAGGCGGAACAGCATCGTCAGTTCCATCTTCAAGAGCCATCATTCCACCTTCAACCACAACAGAAACCCACCAGTGACAGTTAAAAGACTCATATATTATATAACTATATAATATTTAGTTAATCTCACTTGAGTCAATCTTGAACCCCTGGATCTCAAAAATTCCAACCCATGTATATTGATGATCATTCAACTTTCACAAAGTAATTGAAATCTTCGTCATTGTCATTGTCATTCCCTTACCCCGCCTGGAGCAGTACCATGTGGTGTCATTCCCGGTAGCATGGTCGAATGAGCAGCAACACCAGCAGGGGGCGCGAGGGACCCTTCACTCTCAAAGCCCACCAACAGATCTTGACATGGAACCGGCTGCTGACCAGACATCGCAACAGCAAACTCACCCCCACTGAAGACTAGGGAGTAGTACCCCGCTACACCAGGGTGAGGCAAAGAAACCGAATGGACCAGTTGCCCATCCCCCGCACTGAATGCATGCAATTGCCACTCGCCTTGCGGGTTGGCATTATTCACCACGTAGAACACTGCCATCTGCTCTGCAGCCTCCGCATTGGGTGCACCCATGCCCATTGATGACGCTGGCATCCCAGCACCCGGGTGAGAATTCCCAGAAGCAGGTGGGCGAGGGGGGTCTGCAAATGATGAAGCAGCAGCACCTGATGCAAAGTGCTGACCCACGAACTCGACAATGGTGTCAGGGTTCAGGTCACACGAATCTAGTGGCCTCCCCAATCGCTCATACTCTGCAAGAAGAGAGTCCATCACCTCTTGCTTGAACCACCTCAGAAAGTACTAAATTGGTCACTCAAATTGAGTACCTGATTTGAAACCAGCATCAAGCCACACTAAACTAAGCCACACTAAACTAAGCCACACTAAAACCCCCAAGGCCCAAAAGAAAACATACGGTCGATGAATAGCCCAGGCTCGAAGGGAGCCGGTCGCCAGGCACCACGCCCGTGCTCAGATAGAGGAATGAAAGCAGTGCATCTCTGTGCAGCTTACCCAAGAACAATCGAGTGAAGCGATCAGGGTTGATATGATGCAACCAATCGCAGATGTGCTGATTCTGAGTGCATCAGGGTCAAATGTCAACCCTGTATCTTGCCCCAAGTAACAAGAACGTTCAATCGCAGTTTCGATGCAATGACTCAGTGACACGATCAACATCAGTCTTTCAGTGGTGCAGCATTGCTTATCATTACTGTGACAGCGAGGTCTTTCAAAACTATGGTTTCACTTGAAACCTGAACTGAGACAGACATGTTGAAACACAAAATGTAACAACATTAGGGCGAGGTTCGGGAACAAGGGAGATCGAGGTGTAGGATGTAGAGTACTTCTCCATGTCCTTCTTCTTGCCACCGCCTGAACTTGTCAATCTGGGCGCTGCACGTGCTTTGCCTGCTGCTTTCGGAGCGGGAACAGCCGAAGTATCCACCACATCAGCCGTAGATGCACCACCAGGCCATGAAATTGTCCTTGGCAGGCAAGAAACCACTGTCTGACAGGTGGTGTTACTAGGTAAAAAACATCACCTAGACATTCACATGCAGTCATATTATATATACATATGTGTATAACAAATATGCATATACTTACATATAATAATTATAAGTATGAAATAAATTATATATAATTTGAAACGGTATTTACCTGACAATAAATATGCATCAAGGTTTATGAACAAACCCATGGCATGGTTCGTTTTTCAGGAATATAATTAGTAACTAGTAGTACATGTGCAAAACTCAAATTAAATCTACGTCACCAAATCAGTCAAACTCAGTCTTTGACTCCAAGTAAGTCAAGTTCAGCGTGAAATTGAAATGAAACTGGTTGATTGATGCGTGGGTTCACTCATCGTTTTAGCCAGTTGACCACGAATCATCCTTAGTAAGTAATTAGTTTCCTGAAGTCAGAAGTCAATTAAACTTAATTCGAAACCGAAGATCGATGGAGCTGGTGCTGCTGGAGCTGGTGCTGCTGGAGGCGGTGGAGAGGGGTTCCAGGGAACCATGGCGGTACTCACAGAAGCAGCAGGGACTGGGTTGGTAGGCACACCCCCAAGTTTGACAGCAGGAGCAACACCTGTGACAGTCACAGCCTTCCCATACATCGTTGTCGGTGCTGGTCGGGGCATAATGGCCGGGTGGGGGGGGCGACCCCATGCTGCTGCTTTGGGTGGCCCCGGTGGCCCAGGAAAGACAGGCATCATTGGTTTTGCAGGAGGGTACCCTCGACCATAACCAGGCACCCTCCCAGCCATATCTCAACAAACGGGTGAACCGAAGAGAACAGCAAGGGGCACACGACTGACTAGGCTTGAGATAGTGAGTCAAACTGGACAATAGTAACAAGAACTTGGGTGCAACTCAACTCGTGTAGTGTTTGCATCTTGACGTCATATGTACAGTCGCCGGAATGAATCAAAGTTTGCAGTTTACAACTTTGTCACTGAACAATTTGGTCACTTTGATTTGACCACAAAAAACCTCACAAATTTCAAAATGAAGCAATCACCCAAACAACCTGCCTAAATAAGCCAGTCAAGTGTTTTGATCTGCATCGGACAGTGAAGTGAAGCATCATTTGCACACGGGGCCACAACTATGGTAGCCAAAGCAAGACAGGGCCACAAGCATGACAATTGAACAGTTAGCTACATGCATGCTGTTCCCAGCTAAAAAATCACTTCGATCGGGGTCAATGCTTGGCATTGGGCTAGTCAACATGTTCCTTGCCAACTTGCTGTTGACCGGCCACCCCAATGAGCAAAGCTTGTCTTGCCCTGTGTAAACCTGCATTGAACTCCTGTGAAGGTACTTTGCTGAGTTCTTTCGGTACGTGGGTATGCGCCCGGAATGGGCTGACCATGTCTTGCTAAACTCAAATCTGTCCCCCAAGAAGTACACCAACGATTGATTGCTGATTGCGGGGGACCTGTAGATCTCCTGGTAGGCAATGTCATACTGGTAGACCAGAAACCGCTCACGAGGAGTCAATGACATTGATGCCCTGGGTAGATCAGGATCAACCAGCCGTGTGAGTGCTAGCAACCTCCCCAGTGGAACATACCCGTAGCACATGGTAGCACATGAGGATGTCATTCTATTTCCATCCACTTCCCAAAAAGTATGTTTCATGATGTTTTGTGTTATTTTAGAGGCAAGGAACTTCATGGAAAACCACCCCACGCTTTCGAGCAAGTGCCAAAAGATCAAGTGCCCGTGTGGATGGCAATGAAACCAAATAATCCTGGGGCTTCGTCGCCACAACCTTTTTGATTTCACGGGAGATTTGGTGGTAAAGTTCAAACGCATCAAACTTATACTCGAGTTTCACCTTGTTGTAGTAGATGATGTAGGTTCTAGGCCTAGCCACGCCATCATGACCCGCATCAGAAGGGTTCACAAACAACTGCACTTTGGCGTACTCGGGGCCAAGCATAGCCAACACTGCATCTGCTTCCACATCCTTAGCAGATACAGTTCGTTCAGGGTATTACTTGTATAGTTATATAATATTTTCGTTGGCCCAATAATTACCCAGAAGTGAATTTTGGTAACATAAGTTTAACATAAGTGAAAGTCAAGCATTGCATAGAAAAGCTGAACTCAGTACCAACATTGACAAGATTCTGGGGTGTTCTCCAAAATCACCATTGGTGTTCTCATAGTTCTGTGGTACTTAGACCAAACCAGGTAGAGGGAGCCAAACCGCCCTTGCAAATACTTTCGTTTGCAATTTGCCCGGCTGTTCTCTTCACATGGAAGACCAGAAACATCAAAATCCACTGGTTTCAACAGTGTACAATGCCCACCATGTGTCACACAGTGTTGTGATGTAGACATCATTGCTCTATCGATGGACTGAGCCTGTGTTGCAAAGTCATCATCCGGATTGAAACTTCCCTCCGGCACCATTCCCTTCACATCACTGAAGACATGAGGGGCTGGTCTCAGACTGCCGACCCATTCATTGACCCACCTGTAGTGATCATGTATGGCCTGCTGTGCTCGCGCGTTGTACTCCTAAGGGCGCAGCTGGCAATTCAATCTGACAGACAGTGGAAACCCTGAAACTTGTAGCGACCCCCTCTCAAACAATATCAATTAAACTAAACTGACTTACCTCACTAACCACTTATATAACCAGTATTTTCTCAAAACATAATAAATATAACATGCCATGAATAATGATTGCAAAGATTCGTGGCAGCGCTCACTGCGAAGACTTACATAAAGGCCACACGCTGAAGAGTTCACAACTTTTTGAATGAGACAAGCACATACTTCAGCTGTAAAGACACCGGTGCACGAGGACGACATGAAACGAGCTTGGGTCAGCAGCGAGGCCTGTCACTGACTTGGGTGGGCAGTGAGAGCGACCCGGATTGGAAAAATAAAATGAAAATGAAAAACATGCTGAGGGAATAATAATTTACATCAACAAAGTTCGAGACAGAAAGTGATTGGGTATACAATGATGTGAAGCCATACACTGGCAAACACAAGTAATATTGTTCAAGTGATTTCATGTGCCTTGAGGCATTCTCTAGGCACAGACTTCCGAACCACTTCCCAAGCCATTTGCAGGGATCGTGCTGACGTGCTCAACATTGTGTCGTCCTCCTGAACCTAAGTCGAACTTATGCAGGGATCAGCTGAAAGACCATATGACCGGACCATGTCTTGATTCTACATGTTTTGGATATGCCACTGATTTTTTTTGGTTCAGCTGTCACTACATTGACACCTTCTCAGCCAATGTTTTGTTTTTTGATATACAGTATATATATTTATCTATATATAAGGTTTTCTTAGAACCCCTCCCCACCCACATCCTGACAAGACTCCTGAAACGGAGCCGCTGACATGACAGAGCTTTGCGTTGGCACAGGATCAGCAGCTGACGTGTCGGTGACAGTGACCCGGGTGAGGCTGCAGGCATCAGCAGAGGCAGCCGCCATGTTGCTGAGTTGAGGACGATGTTCGAAATAGATAAAATAAATAAGTGTGTGGGTCTGCATCTAACATAACTTCTACTGTATGATATGTCATTGATTGGTGAAAAAAACATAATCATTGAATCGCTTGATGACGTGACAGCACAAAATTCTGTCTATCAGTGAGTATGGTCATCACCCAGAAAGCATATCAATTAAACATTATATAAATTGACACTTTGGTTTCGCACATCAGTTTCTGAAGCTTGTTGCTTCATCAATCGGTTCTCAGTAGTGACTCTGTTATTTAGCCGGTCCTGAACTAGAATTGATTTGGGTGGCGCAGATGGCTGACTCTGCTGGGGCCAACGCGTTGCTGAATAAAAGCTGGCGCTGAGGGCAATCGGCTTGGCGCCCCCAAAAAAAATCATCACAGCCCACTTGATCGGCTCTGGAGGTCTTTGTTTGGAGGCACCACACCAACTGGAAAATCAATAGTTGAAAGTTGAAGTGACTCCTTTTCAGAATCCATTGTTGTTTCAACTGAAAATTGGGTGATAATATTAATAAGAGTCGAGTCAAAATTTGTCATCATCATTGAATATCCTGGAATGTGAATATTATAACTCTCCTCCATTGACATCACAGGCCCCAGCCGAGCCCCCTCATTAGCGGACTGTGGCACCGGGCAAGAGGAGTGCTGTATGCACCTTTTCCGAGGAGAGGTGCGACAACGTAGAACAGTTCCGTGGGCTCGCCAGCAACATCGGAGCCATCAAAGAGTATCTGGCGTGCCAGTGTCCAGTGTCCACTGGCTATAATACAAGTTGCTGAGTGGGTTTTAAAGAGACATGATTGGATTGACAAACATCTATTCTAAGAGCCGAAGATGAAAAACATTGAAAACCCCCTTTTTAACTTACAGTATGATGATAATGTATTCTGATTGAACCAGGTTTTGGGGAAATAAGTCAACAAAGCAGTTGCCCAACTTAACGTTGTGATGACGTATGTATGATTGATGGACCAGACCCGACCAGATTCAGATGAGTTGAACCTCCAATCTAATCACCACAGCTACCTGTGACCGTAGGAACTACAAATGCCTTGATGTGGTTTTGGCCCACCAACTGGCGACGCGCCACTGCAATCGCATTCACCTTACTCAGCAGGAACAGAAAGTAAGTAGGACCAAGGCTATTTTATTGCCAGGATTCGACTACCTAAAACAAAAACATTTCTTGGCATTCCAATTCAATAATACATTATACTTACCTGTTCTTTGAAGATTCTTTATCTTTGACTCATCATGTCATCTTTGGTTCATAAGTAGTTCCGAGGAGCAGTGACCCGAAAAGCTGCAGATGGCACCGTGATCTTGTCCCCGCCAACTCGAGTTAAAGCTTTCTTGAGGAACCGTTCCTCAGTCGCCGGTCGGAAATTATTCTGATTGATCTATATCATTTGCTCGATAAGTTAGGGATCCCATTAGGAACTGAAACTTAACTTTGGTTGAAATGAAAGGTGAAGCTGAATTGACAAGCTTAGAATCATGCCCGGAAAAGACCATGTCCATAGCACTTGCCACATAACTCCATTTGACAGCCTTTGGAATCCTCAAGCGTTTCTGTTTTTTCACAGGGTTCAGTGCCACCGTCACGTTGTGGATGTTCTCTTCAATGCGTAGAGCTAACTGGGTAACCACAGCCAGTGCAGACCGTTCTACAATTTGTTTAGCCCAAAGAATTTCTTTGTTCGCTTTTTTGTTCGCCACCCAAGCTGGAATATCCAGACTGAATGCCAACCAATCAGCCAAGTGAATTTGACCTTGAGTGGGATACGATGTAACCCAAGGAATATCTTTGTTTGCCAAATCGGTCATCCAAGTCATTTGAAGGTGGCGCTGGAAAAATTCCTTTGTCCACGGCATGCATGCATGGGGGGTAGCCAGTGTTTGAGTCATCCAGTACGACCTCCCCTGAATGTCTGACATCATGAAGTCGAGTTTGGGACCATGAACTGCAAGCTGTTCAATCAAAGATTTCAAAAGTTCATACGACCGATGTCAAAACTGTGCACTTCGCTTTGATGGTGTCACCATGTGTGTTATGTAGGCCACCAACAGTGATGTGCATATACAAGCATCAGTGCCATCTTGATCAGAACCCGTGGTGGTTTGAATTGGTGGCACTTGAATACCCGGCCATAATTTCCGATGGCACTCAGAAGCATGGTGGTAAGCTGCTCTAAGTGATGCCCTTGCTCGTTTGGTTTTGCTAGTCTCATAGAAATTGTGAGCCACCCCCGACAACAGCCATTGGCTTTGCTGCCCCGGGTTTGCTGGCACCACTTGCAGAGACCGTCGCCCTGATGCGAAGCCAAAGTTGAAGGAACCTTAAGACGCGATGGGAACTGAACCAATGGTTTCCTAAGACTTGAGGCCTTGTTCTTGACATCTCTGAATAATGAAAATACAGTTTTGCGCAGCTACACCTTCTGCTATATTATATGCTACGTGTAGACTCCGTTCATCATCACTATCACAATCACAACCATCATCATCATCATCATCATCATGATCATCATCATCAGCATCATCATCATTCATCATCATCATCATCAGCTTCATCCAATGACTGGCAGTCGAGCAACGTACCACAGAGCGAAACTCACCAGGATCATCTTCATCCATCTCCTTATGAAGCCGGGTGCCAGCATAGAATCAGAATCATGCCCATGATTTTGTTGACTTAAGCTAGTGGCAACTATAGTAAGTGATGTGATCTTAAAACCTATCGGTCATTATCCCCACCACTCACGAATTTGCAGCTTGGCTTCGGAATCAGCCATCCACCAGTTCAGGACATCAGTTTTGAGCCCAAAAAGGTGGCTCGTTGTGCGCAACCCCAATGGTTTCAAACCTCTGAGACCCAATGAGTATCAATGAGACTCGATGAGCCTCAACGAGCCTCAATGAGATTCAATTTGTCTCAAATGATCATGTTTGAATATCTTTGATATATTATATCTTAACTAGTTGAGCTATATAGATGCAATCTGAGCAAATCCTACTTTGCCCCATACCCTTTGCCCCCCCCTGTTGGTCATCTATCAAATAGTAAATGGAAAAGGGAAAGCAGTACCTGCGAAGTGACCCAACATTGGTAGAGAACTTCCAAATCGGAGTCGCAACTGGGCCAAAAATCTCCCTGAGTCGGGACGCACGAACTGGCTGCACGTCGAGTGAAAATCGAACCAGGACCTCAAAAGGACGACGCAGTGGAATGTTTCCCACTCGCAGATAGTCCTGTAGAGACCCACAATTGCGATACTTCCGGGGTCAGTTGGCTGACAAGAGTCGCCATTGATACCAAGTTGCTTCGATGTCTGGCTCCACTGAGAAAAAACACTCCCCGTCTGCCACGTGCGGACAATGTGACAGTTCCCAAAAGTGCAAAACCAATCACGCAGGGCGCGAACCACAATTGAACGCTGAAGCTCTCGACGGACTTGCAAAACCACCTGCTGAAACATGAAGTCTACGACCCAACAGAAGTACTGCTGAAAATTCGCCTCCAATAAGCGACGAATGGCCAATAAAGAGCAAGCTGGCATGCAAAAATAGGTCAACACCCAGACATCAGTAAAACGTTCCGCATTTGGCCCAAATTGTTTGTTTAGCCAAAATTGTTCGCTTGCACTTGGATCAATTTCCAACCAGGGACCAATAAGAAAAATTGCAAATGGACATACCCGAACCATCCCCTGTGAAATACAGTATGTCCGAAAAGGAAAGGAGCTGCAAAGCGAAGTCGACAGCGTGTTCCAACTGTGAAAATGATTCCAGAAAAAGTTGAAAAAAATTACAAGTCCCCACTGGTCAGCGATCTAACAAAAATCGTCATCACTGCTTTCACTTTCATTTTAAAAGGGACTCCCGCCCTTATTTAAAAGGGACTCCCGCCCTCCCACCACTTGATTGGGAAAAGTCACAGCATTACAAATGATGATGTGACGTGTGAAGGATGTGGTTGTTTCCAATGGAATTATTGAATGCCACATCGAAGTTGAACGCCAAATTGTTTGCGTCTCCACATTTGGTTGGATGTTTCAACCCTTAACAAACGTTTGTTTACCACCAACCAGAGATGATTCATGTTGATCCTTTTGTGAGGCTTCACAAATTTTTGTTTGGAGAAATAAGGCTTTCATCTTTTTTCAAAAGGGTGACATCCTCATTCTGCAAATGCCATCCATCTTTCAACAACCTTCCCATTGAAATCAAAGGAGAAGTGACAGCTGCTATAATGAAACGCTCACGAAAAAAAAACAGGGCCAAAACGTACTTCTGCAATCCTTGCACCATTGACTGAAATTGGTTTCCCTTGTGCATCTATGTATGATGAACCATCAAAACTTTTGTCAACACATCCAACATTGGCATACTCCAAGGGGAGGACTGAGCCGTCGGCCCCTGAGTCCAATACCACCTCCACGCTTTTGGGTTCTGAAAAACCAAACGCTCTAATACAGTGAAAATTGTGAAAATTGTGAACATCGTCATGCAACTCTTCAGACAACATATATTGTTCATCATAATAAGTCCAGTCATCATCAAAGTCTGAATATGCAATGTCAAAATGTTCACAACGCTCTGTATATACGCATGAAGCTGGAAGGTCAGTGGAGTCCAATGCATCGTGCTGTGAAACCATGTTGCAGAAACCACCATAGCTATCAATCATTGTCAAATCATGAAGCTTCGTCTCAGAAGCATCTGAAGAAAGCTCTTCAATCAAGGGCTCAGGGCAGGTCACCAAACGCACAGAAGCCGAAGGCGGCATGCTAGAAACAGTGCTGGCACCAGAAGAACTAGCAGCAGGTGGAGAAGCTTGCTGATCACCACCAAAAACTTGATTCACGCTCTTCCCATCAGGTTTGCCATGAAGCTTCCAGCAATCACGCTTGAAATGTCCATATTTTCCGCAATGAAGACATTGGTCACTTGAAGTGGCACTGCGCTGGGATGGTTTCCCACCTTTGCCTTTGCCCTTGTCGCTCTTTGATTTCCCTTTACCCTTTTGTGGGTCCTTACTCTTTGATTTTCCCTTCTCTTTTCCTTTGGATTTCCCTTTTTCAAAACGATCAACTTCCATTGGGGCTACACCACCATAATTTGAGGGGGAAACACTTGAGGAAACAGGCAAAATGCCTAACTCGCTATGTATCTTTGTGGTAGACCAACTTGTTGTTGTCTTTTCATATCCAACAACCAAGGAACGCACTTGAGCATATGTGGAGTTCTCGTTCATCTGCAACTGAATGTGCTGCTGAATGGCCTTTGGCAAAGCACGCACCAAAACAGAAAGCATGATGTCATCGGCAATGTCTGATCCACTTGCTCTGACATACTCAGTGCGCAGTCTCTCCAATCCAAGAATCTGGTCAAGCAGAGTGCGGTCTTTCTGAGTGAATCTAGGGATGTTCATCAAAGCGCTAAGTGTAGAGATAGCTCGAGACTTGGTCTTTGGCTGAAACAACTGCACAAGCTGACGCCAAACTTCAAATCCATTTCTGCCTTCAATTTGCCTCAGCATTCTAAGTGGCTTCCCACGCAACAATCCAGTGAGAACGCTATACAGTTGACTGCAACGATCCTGAGTCTCAGCAGGTTCACCTGTAACGTTCACAATGGGCTGGTCAGCATGGGTGACTTCAATCCTGTGCAAATCTAACTCAAAGCTGGGGTTGGCGTAGAACAACCATGCTCGAAAATTTGTGCTAAAATCCTGCCAGTTGTTCAAGTCTGTGTCATGGACCTCTGAGCCAAAGGGATCAGGCTGTCTAACAACCTTTGATGCCTCATGAAACTTCGAAGCGCTTGACCTGGACTGCTGTTGATCTCGTAGAGCTTGGGCTGCACTGCTAGCGGCCTGAGCTGCATCACTTGCTGCTTGAACCAGTTTGGAAATTTCTTCAGGAGTCAGTGAAGCCATGTCCTAAAGACAGAAGCTGCCTAACAACCTGGTCCTAGATCGGATGCCCTGCACATTGGCTAGGGCTCCGCTACCATGATTCTTTTTCCTTGAAAGCGAAACGCCTGTGGATATATGTATGATTCACCTGTACATGCATGTCATGGCAACTGCAAATGACAACGTGTTGAAGTCACATGTCCAAGTGAAATGCCAATGCATGCAACTGTTTACATTGATATATATGGGATGTGGATTGGGTCAAATCCATTCACATTTCCTTACAGGAAGATTTTGATATAATTTGGGGGAACCACCCAATGCTCGTGGGAAACCCGACAACACCATACAAGATCCCGCTGGTACTATCCGGGAGGGTCCAGTCAGGGAAACTATTTTTTTTGATTTAATGGGTTTCTACCTGTTCGAAATTGAACCACTTTCCCCCCCGTCTTGATCGAGGACCGAAATTATTGTCCTGTCCCCTGACATCAGGCTAAAACCCTTCCCTTCAACCTATTTCAAAATTTAAATCCTGTGCCACAACCGAGTGCAGCAATCTCATTTCTTGAAAACTTAGATGATGCATAGCCTGCATAGCAACCTTTTTGCAAAAATTGATTCCCCTTGGATACCAATAGTACAGTACTGCACATGGCGGCTGCGGAAGTTTCAAGGATAGGAAAGCTGTAGGAGAGGTTGGTTGTTGTGAATCATGGATGGCAGAGCAAACCCAATGATGGACAAAACGGTAGTTGGAGTGTCGGGTTATCTATCTGTCTGTCTAACTATCCATCCATCCATCCATCCATCCATCCATACATCCATCCATCCATCCTTCTATCCGTCCATCCATCCATCCGTCCATCCATCTCTCTATCTATCTATCGGTCTTCTCTATCTACCTGTCAATCTATCTGGTTGTCTTTCTATCTGTCTCTCTATGTCTCTTTCTATCGGTCTGTCTATCTCTCTGTCTTTCTCCAAGCTTGAAAACGAAGCTATTCTACGAAATTTCCTCCAAAACCCTACGTTGACAATATCTGCGAAACTTCAAGGTGCAGTACGGGCCTGTTTGCTTGATCCACAGGGCGTCAACGATTCAATGCATTTTGCATCAACTGTCTCTGACAAAATGTGAAGATGCCAAAGCGGAAATTGCAATGAATGTCATCCTTCCGCAGGGGCCATGCATGGAGATGACTAGGGTGCTCAAACTTTCGGACTCCTTCTTGCAAATGTGGAATGTGGCTTTCATTTGCACACCTTTGGCACGGCATCTGCGCTTTGAGTCTCACTGCAAAGTTTCTCTGAGATTTTTTTTGGATCCTAGTGGCATTTGGATAACGGGGAGTTGCCACTATTCGCCGGCATGAAAAAAGGCTCTTTGCTTTGCAAAGGTGGCATTTCGATAACGGGGAGTTGCAATCATTCCCCGGCGTGTTCTTTTTTTCTGTCCAACGCCTCTTGGCTTTCGCCAGGTCGTTCCACACGTTCAGTTGCATGTTGCATAGAACCGGTAAATTAACTAATTAATGCATACAAGAGCCGCCATCAGGGATGGAAGCCACAAAAGTGAACTGGTAAGGGACCTGTACATAGTCCAGCAGCCGTCACGATCCGTTGAGAAAAACAGCAAACAACCAGACCACACCAAAAGCAACAAAAACAACACAAAAAACAAACAAACCAAACAACCCACCCAAACAAAACAAACAAGCAACTTGGAAAGTGATCGGCGGTCCAGTCCAGAGACTAATGAAGAAGGTGAGGTGATAACATTGTATCAGCTCAGGTATTGGTATGGCAGAAAACAAGACAAAAGAGAAAACCGAAAACACAAAAAACACATCGCCATACCACCGTGTGAGTGAAGCAACACAGCACTATGCGGAAACCAGGGATCCCCCCAGCCAGGATCCCCGAGATCACATAGAGCAAGCCATCAAGGCATAACAACTCACAATAAGAGAACACTTCGATGCTAGCAACGACAACGCCGTGTAGCAACTGAAGTGGTGAGACAACAGTGAAAACGGCGGTGAGAAGGATCTAGGGTGAGAAAAGGTGTCGAGCGATCTAAACTAAGGCACTCAAGGCACTCTCAGATTCCGCTCAGTAGTGCTTTTCCAATAATCATAAAAAGTGGGGAGTACATCAGTGCTTGAAGGTGACCTTCTTGTGAGATGTATGACGTTCCCTAGCTTCCACTGCGCTAGTGTTCTTGGAGCTGGTCTTGATTGTGAGGGGCATGATATTCATCATCTGTTGGCAATGATACCTGTGCGTTCAATTCACCGGATGATGTGCTTGCAACCCTAGCTGTACGCGGCATGAGTAGCAGTGCTTTTTGCGCTTGACTAACTTCGTAGCTGGCAGCAATTGTGCAAATCATTCCCCGGCGTGTTCATTCACTTGCACTTCAAACATCTACAGTTTCAGCCTGGCAGCTAGGCCCTCTCTCTGAGTTGGTTGGCATACTGAAAGTTGTTGTAGTCTGGCTCAGGTCGGAGACTTCAGGTACAAAGACTGTCTCCTGATCAATTTTTGTTTCTTCTTCCTCGCCTCCTTCCTGTTCCATCTCATTCACATCAGTCTCATCAGCTACTTGAATGACTCCTCTATTTTTGCAACGGTAGCACCACTTTTGAGCACACAAAGGGCTTGTCCGTAGTGTGTCATTCTTGCGCAGTGGTCATGCCCTATGGCATTGACTACTCTCAGCTTCACTATATTTTAGAGTGCTGTAGAAACAAAATATCTATACAGTTATTCAGTTCTCTTTTGTATCACATTCATTATGACCAATGTTGCTACTGCATTAATTCGGTGAATTTGTACAATGCAATTGTCTTTCCGGATTGATAAACGACCTGGCGAGAGCCATCTAGCGTTGGACGGAAAAAAAAATATCTATACAGTTAGGTACAAACTGTAGTGTGGACACCAAAGTTTAGCACCCCGCCTTTAAATCTCAGAATGTCTTTCTCTGAGATCTAAACTCAAACTTTGTTTCTTTCACCAACAAACCAAAACAAGCGAAACACAAAACAAACGCAAAACGAACATCACAGCTTATCGGCTGTGTTCACACTTGCAAGTCGACCAATGCATTTCCAAGTTGTTTTTCCGTCCAACGCCTTCATGGCTTTCGCCAGGTCGTTCAACACGCTCTATGGATCGCAAAATCATTAATTTCCAAATTAACGCGCGAGGCCGTCTGCTGATTGAGGGCCACAAAAGAGAACTGGTGAAGGACCTGTACATAGTCCAATAAGCCGTCATCATCAACAAACAAAACAGACAAAAGCAAACAAATTGACGATCAAACTTGACGGGAATTGGAGTAGTTTTCAACTAGCAAACAGCGCACCTCCGCTAAGCGTCACCAACTGCCAAAATGGTAAATTCTTTCTGAGAAATTGTCTCTAGTTAAAATGAATTCACTTAGAGATATTCATTGTGTCATTTCCCTCTCTGCGGAAGGCTACAGGCCTTCGAAACCTCTACTTGGGTCAGCGTCCAGGACGTCGTCCTTAACTCACTAAGACCGTCCACGCAACCAAGTCAACCACTCCCAGAGCTCAGCCACTTTTACACACACAAGCACAGGAACAAGATGTTTGCTCATGTCGCTATGGTTCTTGTTGGTGTGTCACGCCTTGACACAAAATGATGCGGAGTCGCCAGTTGACATCTTTCTGTCAACTTCACAAAAGCGATCAAAAACACATGTCGTCACAAAAAGTCTTTACATCAAGACATGGTTTGTTTGTTTAAATAAGTTTGAGTGTTTGAAAAACGTTGAAACATTTCAAGCACCAAAGCATGATTCATGATGTCTCTCTCAGATCTGTTGGCAACTCTGGTTCTGAATGCCTTTCAGAACGTTGCTCTCGCTATCATCATTGAGAGACAAAACGAACTAAACTTCTCCGATCAATGTCAAACAAAGTTCCTTCTTCCGAAGTCACAAAATGAATTCTACGATCTTCTCACGATTCCTTCGTGTACTTCTGCGTTCATTCTGCCGGCAAAACTAAAGCAAAACATATGGAAAATGGTTTGATTTTCCATGTCACTATACAAATTCAAATCCTCACGATGTTCTCCGTGCAATCAAAGTACTCAAAGAAGACGAAAAGTATATCGTTGTTGGGTTTCGTCATCTCCAATAAAACGTGCAGAACATGAAACGTGCAAATACAATGTCAACCATCACGGTTGAGCTCACCATCAAGGTGAAAACCAAATTCACTTCTTCCAATGCAGAAAAGATCAAATGGATTCATCTCACCACAGATGTCGGACATCTCCTCACAGATGTCATATTTTCACACCCCCTTTTGAGATGAACTCCATTCCATGTATAGCTGTAACCCATCCAGACTTCAGCACATATCGCCCAAGCTCGACAGGCCAATCCATAAAGATGCCCTTAGCCGAAGGGCTACATAGTGACCACTCATCCAGTTCAACAATCCTGCAAACTACAGTTGTCCACATAGAATGAGATCCTGTATAGATCCAACCACCATCACAGTGTCATCAATCACAAAATTCTCGACGCAAGGTAGTTCCTGCATAGAATGGCACATTAGCCGCTTTGCAGTCCACCAAATCTCGGGCCTTAATGTACCTGGACCAATCCCAGGCAGGACCCTTCGCTGAGTCTTTGGTCAAATGTTTTCGACACCATGAAACATAGCTGGGGTCTTCCTCGAAGACAGTCTTGTAACTCTTCTTCTCTTCCTTATACTTTCCAAATGCAAACTTGGTCTTTCCCCACATAGCCATATTTGTAATACCAGCTGGAAGCAAGGCCTTTGTGGCCAAATCTTCGGTGCCTCCCACGGGCTCCATGAAACTACTTCCAACCACCCAATCTGGCTGTGTCGACCTCAAACTCTGCATCTTCAAATCTGCGCTTTGATGCATCGGTCATTGCACCACTAGCTTCAGTTGTCGGCAAAGGCATCTGAGAAGTACGACGCTGTGCCAACTGTTGAAACATCTGCTCA